CAATAAACACAAATAATCATGACAAATGTTTATTATAAATATATACTCAACAACAAAAGTTCCTGTGACACCAATATTTTAGTGTATTTTTCAATATTGTAGTACATGTGTGGAATTAAGTCACAAAAACGCAACTGCTACAGAAAAGCATGCATTCCATGCAAAAGTTGATTTTTATGCAAGCCCAATGCATTTCACTACCCAAGAATGGGTATAAAAAACATGTGCGGGATTCATATGCATTGTTTAGCATCGTGCTGACAACAACCACTCAGAAAAAACAACAAAATTACGCAATTATTCAACATTAGGAAATGCCACGCCTGTCCGAAAATGAGCGTCTGCGAGCCATTGGTATGCTTGAAGCAGGATCGAGTCAACGTGATGTTGCAAGACAATTTAACGTCCACAGAAACACCATTTGGTGTTTATGGCAACGTTAGCATCAGACGAATGCAGTCAGAGACAATCCTCAGAGTGGCAGGCCACGCGTAACCAATAATCGACAAGACAACAGGATTCGAACAACACACCTACGAAATCGATTCCAGCAAGCAACGGTGACTGCAAGAAGCACCCCTGGCCTTCGACGAATATCTTCACAAACCGTACGTCGTCGCCTCAGATGTGCACAGATTGTCACCAGAAGACCAGCTAGACGTCCCATTTTGACAGGACACCACCGTCAAGCACGTCTACAGTGGAACAGACAGCATCTACGCTGGACGGGCATGCAGTTGGGACAAGTTCTATTCACTGACGAGTCTCGTTTTCACCTCAGCCACAGCGATGGACGGATTCGAGTGTACCGACGTCGAGGTGAACGTTACGTCAATCATTGAGTTATGGAAGAAGATCGGTATGGGGTGGGATTACAGCAAGACAGAGAACCCGTTTGATAGTGGTAGAGGGAAATCTCAATTGACAGCGCTACCGCGACAAGATCGTTGGCGTTCTACCGTTTTTGCGTCGTTATGACCCAGGCATTACCTTTCAACATGACAACGCCCGGCATTGATATTTTGGCATGTTCATGTTTTGTTTTTATGAAATCACGCATTTTCTGAAGTCAGTATGGCAAATTAAACCATTTGAACACTTACAGGAGTCTTTTATCTGTTGCAAACCGAAATTGTTTCAGATTTGGTAAAAAAACATAACTTTACATTAAATCTTATTCAATGTCACAGGAACTTTTGTTGTTCAGCATTGATGGATGTAATGTAACGAAAAACTGGTTATACATCTCCGTATCTGCGCAGGTGTGTCTTGGAGATCTGTTGTGCGAAAACCAAGGGTCCAAACTGGTGAAGTCCTTGAACACCCGTTACTGTGATGTCTCCGAGGTAATGGGATGCGAACACGGTATCGGATTTCCAAAAACATCCCTTCATAACTGCGGTCAAGGAGCAATTACTATGAAGTGCCATGGTGGAAGCGACATCACGGGTTTCGTGAGGATCAGATGCGACTTGAGCAGGTAGGACAGCGAAGGTGTAGGCTTAAACGATCACTGAGCGTATCCAAAACGAGATTGTACTTCCATTGTTGGTTGGTTGGTTGTTTGTTGTTTAACGCCGCACTCAGCAATATTACAGCTATATGAAGGCGGTCTGTAAATAATCGAGTCTGGACCAGACAATCCAGTGATTGACATCATGAGCATCGATCCACGCAATTGGGATCGATGACATGCATCAACCAAGTCAGCGAGCCTGACCACCCGATCCCGTTAGTCGCCTTTTACGACAAGCATAGTCACCTTTTACGGCAAGCATGGGTTGCTGAAGACCTATTCTACCCCGGATCTTCACGGGTCTAATTCAGGTAAACGAACAGGTGATAACAATAATGTCTAGTAATGTTTTATCTCACATTTCAAATTTGTATTTACCAAGTTTGTTATCACCTAATTCACCACTAGACATTAAGATTTATAGTCTAAATTGTATTTTCTGTTCAGCTAGGCATTCCTTTATGTGCATAGATTAAGATTACCGAAGGTATTTTCTCGTAAACTAAGCCGGAAACGGCAATCAGCTGTACGCACGTTTTCTCCCAATCTGCGGCTGATTCGGTTAAATATTCCCCCAAAATTAAGTTTAAAAGAATTTGGTGCAATGATCGGCAGAATTGTATCTGAAACTATAATTTTATCAGGGATAATATATTCCAGTATCATGTTATTTTAGTTGCAGCTTTACAATATATATTTGAAATAATAACCATAAGTGTTGCACATTGGTACAGTTGATAGCTTATTTGCCGGATATTTTTACACGTGGAACAATTTGACCAGTCATAGTCGAGGCTCGCGTGCTCGCGATCGCGAAAACTTTATTTTGACACATAATAGTAAAACCACAGCAAACGTTACTTTTAACGAGTCAAACTATGACATTTAATATACGTAGTATATGTATTCATTCTCTGTCAACTAAAGTTTGTTTCAAGTTTTTAAATGTCGGTCACTTAACACGATTTCGCAGAAAATAATGTAAACAAATATATTCAAGAAAATACGATACTTTTTAAAGAAGATGCTGCCTGGAATCGAATATCATTTTGAGAAATACGTCTATAAATTAATCTTAGACCGTACATTTATACTGTGATGCGCATCATACGTTTTCTAAATTATTCCCCACCGTATCGTGTATATTTTCATCGGTACATACGCCGATACGGCCTTTAACTAGAGCCCTGCGAACGTCTATGCATTTATTGTTTGCAATATCAATACACAGGGACTTAAGTCTCCATCCCATTGCACACATAGTTTTAGAACTGAATCAACTTTAACATGAGAAAGTACCAAACTGATCTTTCCTGCACCGTGAGTATATATTCGCAATGAAATAATGTCTACTAAATGAATCTATAAGTTTAATGAAAGTGTGTCTGCTCGGGAAATGTACAATAGTAATAAAATCATATACGAGTGACGAGAACAAATGTAAGCAGAAATAAAATTACCTATATTTCACGTGAAGGAATATGTTCCGAAATATGTAGCCTTAGATTTTTTGTTTGTTTGTTTGTTGTTTAACGCCGCACTAAGCAATATTCAAGCTATTTGACGGCGGTCTGTAAAATAATCGAGTCTGGACCAGACAACCCAGTGATTGACATCATGAGCATCGATCAAAGCAATTGGTTGGTTGGTTGGTTGGTTTTATTGTTTAACGCCGCACTCAGCAATATTCCAGCTATATGATGGCGGTCTGTAAATAATCGAGTCTGGGCCAGGCAATCCAGTGATGCATCAACCAAGTCAGCGAACCTGACCACCCGATCCCGTTAGTCACCTTTTACGGCAAGCATGGGTTGCTGAAGACCTATTCTACCCCGGAATCTTCACGGGTCCTAAGCAATTGGGATCGATGACATGTATCAACCAAGTCAGCGAGCCTGACCACTCGATCCCGTTAGTCGCCTTTTACGACAAGCATAGTCGCCTTTTACGGCAAGTAAGGGTTGCTGAAAACCTATTCTACCCGGAACCTTCACGGGTCTGTAGCGTTAGAAAACTGAAAGAAACTCAACAAATATAAGTATTCTAAATGCAAACTGGCAGTTTGTGTCTTCATAGGTATCGTGAACGGTTTAGTATTCTCAAAATAACTTGCAGTACTTAAACCCATTGACTTACTTATGGTGTTCAAGGATGACTGAAAACTGTTGCATTTGTAGAAAATAGGTGTGATAATTTCTGTGAATTATTTCTTTTATTTTTGTGAATTTCTAAATGTATTCATAGTTTTCGGCCATGGGTTCCGTGTTAATTTACACTTATCTGAGGGGTTCACAAAGTACGTGATCTGGACTACCAGTTGTCTTGACTTCCATTTTTGTGGCGACGACTTATGCTTTGTGTGCTGGCGATACACGGCCGCTTCATACCAAAGGCCGTTAAAAGATGGTACTTGCTTTTAAGGTTATAAAACAAAGACTGGTCGGCCTGGAGTCACTTTACAGGGTCTGAGTGGGGTATCCATGCTCATCTGCGTCATGTTATCTTGGTAGGCGCGCGCGGAAGTTCCCAGGAAGGACGACCGCACACAGTAGCTCTCGTACAGGTAGAAGGATATGTAATCGTGTCACAAACATAGAATACAATTGTGCATGGAAAGATAAGTATCTGAGTAAGCCCATTCGCATGTACAAACAGTGTCTCTTGAGCAATATATTTTCGTTGTTCTCCAGTATTAGGAGACTCTTTCAAAGCTGATTGTTCATCCCAATGAACTCATTCTAATATGGCAAATAGCTTTCTTAAAGAATGGCGTCCGCTTCTCTCACAAATATATTAGGTGAGGTGAGGTGAAAAGCGGTTTAACGTCGCGTCCAAGATCATTGCACTTATATAGCGACGTGCATGCACCTGTGTGTGTGTGTGGCTGCTTGCACTAGTCCGGAGTGATGCCGATTTATAGTGCTAGATCACTGAGATACCATGTCGCAGTTTAACATGAATGCCCCACTCAGACACAGTATACTGACTCCGAGCCGACCAGTCCTTGTTTTAGCCCCTGAATGCCGAGCGCCAGACAGGGTAACAACAAGTACCATCTTTGAAGGTCTTTTGGTATGACGCGGCCGGGGATCGAACCCCGAACCTTCCACTCTCCGGGCGGGCGCTCTACCACTAGACCACGGAGGCGGTCCCACAAATGTATTAACTGAAGGCTAAATTAATGCCATCACATAAGCGATGATACATATCACAGCGGATAATATAGAGAGTGAGTGAGTATGGTTTTTTTCGCCGCTTTTAGCAATATCACGGCGGGGGATACCACAAATGGGCTTCACACATTGTACCCATGTCGGGAATCGAACCCGGGTCTTCGGCGTGACGAGCGAACGCTTTAACCACTAGGCTACCCGACCGCCCCGATAATATAGAGAGGCGGCAATACAGTTACTGTTACAAATGTGGTATTTGTATTTACATCAACGTTAAAAGGAATACAATAAACAATAAAGTCAACACTGCATCTTGTACACCGTTTAATATACAATAAATGCATATACACAAATGTCTTAGGCAACGATGCATAACATGTCTTTATTTATGTTTAAAGAAATTAACATTTAGAAAAATAGAAGAATATGCTGAGAGAGAGAGAGAGAGAGGGAGAGACGGGGACGTCATTCAAAATACGTTTAATAGCGTCAGTGAAAACCTGACATATATGATAAAAAAGATCCATGACAGGTTTAAAGTACTATTTTCTGCTGATAGTGAGCACTATAACCACATGGGTCAATTGCGGCCACAGCTGCAAATAGAGATTCTGGTTGCGAGTGGGACCAGATCAAGGTCAGTGCAATTTCGGAGTTTCTTGTGAGAACCTCCCCCAAAATATCTGCTCCTCCAACCACTGTTCCAATGTGAAGCTCATATTGGAGATCCTCCCAAGGAGAGACGAACAGCCTGTCCCAGTTCAGAAAGATTTGGTTTCCTTTCAGAGACACAGCTATCTCAGCAGATCCTACAAATATTGACTAGGTGTTAACTTTAGGATCAATGAATGAGTAAATACGATGGGTTTACGTGACATTTAACAATAGTACAGCTATACCATCGTGGGGAACACCACAAATTATCTTTCGACCAATGTGGGGAATGCGACTGGGTTCCATCTAAGCGAAAACGAAAGCTAAAAGAATTGTCAACTCGTTGTGTAATGATTCACGTATATTTCCCCCATATATAATGTATATTCCTGATACTGGAAACACATTGGGACTTACATTATTATACATTATAGTTGAATACATTTAAATGTATCTTGGGTATATTTTTAAATGCAAGACATATGTAAAATCAAAAATTATTCCTGATTGGTTTGTCGTATTTTCGCACTTTTCATTCATCGATAGGGGGACGAGTGGTGACGAATGGGGGAATGATGAGTCTCAAAATATGAATATATCACGGTCAGTATGCTGTCGTATGGGCCAGTAATACACATACATATATAGCTGATATGCCAGGTTGGATATTCATTATCATTACTATAATGTATATCTTTACACACAATAAGATTGTCATTGGATGTCAAATAAGCTGCCAAGTTTAGGATAAAACAATGTTACCTGTTATCGTCGGTGGATTGCCGTGGGTGGTAAGGTTAAGAAGAGTTGTTTCCCCTTGTATCCCAATGATGCTGTCTTGAGAAACTGCAACTAGGTAGGGGGCCAGGTTCTTGAAGTGCAGCCCACACAATGTGGCAAACTCAAAACTGGAATCTACTCTGTGCTGATGTGTACTAGACTCGTCAGTAACCTCAATCTAAGTATGAAATCAACAAGCACACGTCATTACTGACAAGAGTGGTTTGTCATTTAATCTATTTATATACAGGTCAGATACAGGTAATACACAAATAGATATACCACAAAAAGACTTACCACAGTTGTCTGGAGAATATTCTTTGCCCAATGCATCCGCACCCTGTTGTTTTTAAGGCATTGACCACGTTGATGGTAGTACCTGACATTGTCCTCCAGGAGGACTGCCGCTGCAGGTTTCAGCTGACCACGTGTCAGAGTTACGCCATCAGAGACGACTGACGACATCAAACCCACCGTGTTGATACAGCGAACTGTTGAGAATATCTTCAGAGGAAGGCTAATATTAACGCTTGAGATGTCAAAGGTAGCTGTTGTTTGACTTGGGGGAACCAATTCAAACATCTTGATGTCACCTTTGCCTGGAGTCGTGCCTAGAGAGAAAAGTTACTTTTTACAATGTCTTCAAAACAAGTTAAAAAATATAATTATGTTTCAATCCACAAACAAAATTAAAGTCAGGAAAAATTCATAATCAAACAATAATTTGTAAAGTAATGAATGAAATAACCAATAAGGTAAAAGTCTGTTTTCAAGAATGTCCGCAAACGTGGTTATTCCTTAGATCAGCCACAAGCATTTTTGACTCATAAAACATGAACACAAAGTTGTACTGTGAAGCATAGTGGTGTTGTGTGAGGTTATCAGTATCATATCATGTCCCTATACTTTGACTGGTAAGGTGAAATTGGGTTTAACGTCGCGTCCAAGATTATTGCACTTATATAGCGACGTTTGACTGGTAAGAAAGCGTCCCCGTGAAGATCTGTATCAGAATTGGTCTCCATCAACCAAAAGAGCAACCTCCCCGTGATGAGTGCTGGATAACGCTATTCGCTCTTCCCGCTAATCGTTGAACCGGGGTAAAATGTGTCCACAGCACCCCATTGCTGGTCGTAAAAGGCGACCAAATTGGGCAGCCCGTTTGCCGTGGGTTGCGTCCCTGTGTCGGCGGAGGGCGGTAGTCTGGTGGTTGAGGGCACTGGTTCCAGGAATAGCTTCCTTTGCCTAATACACCACTTCGACCCTTACTTCGCCTAGACGGGTGGTAGGATGGGCCCGATCCTATCAATCGGCTAGTCATGCCAAGCCCTGTGGATCAATATTGTGTTGCACAAGTTGTTTTAAGCTATTGAAATTATTTGTCAAAATGTTGCAATGATTTGTTGTCATGGCCAATTGTTATATTTGTTGAATTTCTAATGTAAACTTTCCAGTATGTACTTTGCCTAGAGTCCTAAGCCCAGAAGGCGGTGGCTCATGGGCCAATCTGGTGGATTAATTAATTTTCAATTAATTATTCTGCTTGAGTATATCACCTCAGTATCCTTGGTGCTGCCAAGTGGAGATCCACTGGTATTCAGCATTGTCTTTATGACACTCCGTGTTGGGTGGGGAGCTGGGGTGATGAACCAAAAATACACTAACCATGCCACACGCAAAAAAACGTGCATTAGAGGATTCCTCAGATGAGGAGAATGCAACCCTGAAGAATTTGTCTACTTGTTGGTCTCAATTTTTGGTGGTTTCTGCCACTGATGGTTCTCCATTGAAGTTGAACCCATTTGCCATTTCTAAAGCATTGTATGGCATAGCTGGAGATGTTAAAAAAATCTGTTCTGGTTTGCTGCTCGTTAAATGTAAAACTGCTAAACAATCAACAACCCTACAAGCTGCTACACATTTGATTTCTACTCCTGTTTTGATTGTTCCACACAAGACCCTAAATTCCAGCAAAGGCATTGTCAGAGATAGAGACCGCTGTGTCTACTTTAACATCGAAGTGAATAAATATATTCCCAATCCACTTAGATGCTACAAATGCCAACAGTTTGGGCATGGGACACAATCATGCCACAATAACAAGATCTGCCATCAATGTGGAGAAGGTGACCACAATACAGATGCTAAATGTAGCAAAACCCCTCACTGTGCCAACTGTTCTGGAGATCACATGGCTTCCTCAAAGTCCTGTCCCAAGTTCAAAATTCAGTTTCAGATAGTCAAATTGAAACATGGAAGAAACATAACCTTCCCTGAAGCAAAGCGTTTGGTCATGTCTACTGTCTCTACCCCCACAGCTGTGTCATGCTCAGCAGCTGTGACATGTACAATTTCCAAATCAGTTACCTCTGTACAATGCCAGACAGATATTACTTAGGTTAACACTGATAACTTTTCCATGGTACAATCAAGTTCTCATTCACAAACAGAAGATACATCACAAGCAACACCAGTGGCGTCAGCAACAAAACCATCACCTATTGTGACAAATATCAGCAAAAAAGATGATTATTCTAGAAATTCGGATCGTGTACCGAAGGGTCATCGTGACCCTATACAAATATATAATAGATTTCAAACCTTGGAGGAGATGGATGTCTCTCCTCATCCAAATGGGCGCAACAGAAGTAATTTGCCTCAAAATGGGAGACAGAGATCTCCTGTTCATCCACCAGTAACTTGAATAATATGAATCCACTGATTCAGTGGCATTGCAAGGGTCTTAGGACCAATTTTAATGAATTACATTTATTTATACAAGATTTTTACCCATCGGCAATCTGTCTCCAGGAGACATATCTTAAACAGACTGACAACTTTGATTTATGTCAGTATAGTTCCTCCAATTATTTGTCTCCTACAGGTGTTAAAGCTACTCGGGGATCTACTGTTTTGGTGAGACAGGGTGTGATCAAACCAATCTTCAAGCTGTCGCAGTCCGCCTGACTTTGCACATAACATTTACACTGTGCTCACTATATATTTACCCTCCTTCAGTGCTTCAGCGATCAGGCCTTAAATCACTATATGACCAGCTCCCAAAGCCCTGTATGATCATGGGTGATTTAAACGGACATAACCCATTATGGAGAAGTGTTGCCATTAATCCTAAAGGTAAAGTCCTCAAAGATTTCATTTCCAATAACAACTTGTGCATTTTCAATGATGGATCAAGTACTAATTTACATCCTGCTACTGGAACCTATTCTGCTTTGGATTTGTCGCTGACAGATTCCAATCTCTTAATTGAATTTGCATGGTCGGTTCACAGTGACTTGTGTGGAAGCGACCATTTCCCTTCAATCCTTACAGCAAATAATCCATCATGTTCCACCCACATCAAGGTGGAACTTTACCAAAGCCAACTGGACCACCTTTCAGGAACTCTGTATTGATAGGTTGTAACCAATCCAAAGTCCTCTGCAAATCCACACATTCGAAAACCATGGTTTGATAAAGAATGCAAACAGGCTAGGAAGAGTAGGAAAAAGGCTGAGAAATATTTCCGCCAACATCCAACTGTCAATAATTTGAATCATGTTAAAATTACAAGTGCCAAGGCACGCCGTACCTTCATGCAAAGGAAGCGTAAATCTTGGAGGAATCATGTCTCTCAAATTAATTCTCTCACGCCTATATCCTAGGTGTGGAACATGATTTCAAAAATTAAAGGTAAAGGTTCAAAATCAACTGTCCACCATCTCAAAGACGGGGACCATCTGTTAACAGATAAATCGGACACTGCCAATAAATTGGGTGAAACGCTGGCCAAACACTCTTCATCATCGAACTATCCAAATTATCCAAAACAACAGGAAAAGAAGAGGGTTGATTTTACTTCTCAAAATGGAGAGGATTATAATGAGGTGTTTTCGCTCCACGAGCTAAAAATACTGCCCTAGGTCAAGCGCACGATACTGCAACGTGAGATGATAATATTCATTATCAGATCCTGAAGCATTTGCCTAATTCATGTTTAGAGACAATTCTTGATTTATTTGATCAGATCTGGACGTCAGGAAATTTCCGTCTTCGTGGCGTAATGCAATAGTTGTTCCCATACCTAAACCTGGTAGGGACCATACTGATGCATCCAATTACCAACCAATATCACTAACCAGCTGTGTGTGCAAAACCATGGAGCGAATGGTAAACAATCGACTGGTGTGGTACTTGGAAATTAACAATCTTATAAGTAACATTCAATGTGGTTTCCGTCAAAAAAGAAGTACCATTGACCATCTGGTACGTTTAGTATCTTTTGTCAAAAATGCAATTATCAATAATCAGCATGCAGTATCAATCTTTTTTTATTTAGAAAAAGCGTATGATACCACATGGAAGCATTTAGTGCATTTCGAACATCTCCTGTTGACAGCCTATATGTTGAAGCTGATGAACCTTCATTGAAGCAACGCTGTATCAAATTATCACTACAATACATTACTAAATTACATTCTAACCCATTAAACCCTGCATACAACTGTGTTTTTCAACCACTTTACAAACAACTTTTTCACAGTGAGCCTAAGCTGGTACCACCTCTAGGCATTCGGATTAAACCACACATTACAGCTGCCAATATTAATCTTGATAATATTTCTCCTTTCAGGCTTTTGTCTTCTCCTCCTTGGCAACTTGTCAGACCGGAAGTAGACTTTACTCTCACACATTTAAAAAAATCAAGACACAAATCAATTAATACATCAACAAGAATATATATAAGTTTGAAATAAATACAGATGGAGCAATGATGGTAGCACAGTCTCCAGTGCTGCTGTCATTGGATCAAAAACATTATCATCCCGATTACCAGACCATAGCTCAATTTTCACAGCTGAAGCCAAAGCATTTTAACTGCTTTGGAATATATCCAAAAACAGTCCAGTTATAAACAGCTCATCATCTTTTCAGATTCTTTATCATGTCTACAGGCAATAAAATCAAGCTCTTCAAGTCATCCATTCATTTTAGACATTTTAGAACTATATAAAGACCTTGCTACTGACCATTACATAAATTGCATGCAATAAAACCAACTATCGGATACACTTACTTGGGTTGTCAGTCCAGATTTGATGAGGTCATTATGCCACGATGTCATATTGGCCATTCGCGTTATACACATGAGTATTTATTGCAAGGTGAAGATCCTCCATTCTGTATCCCTTGTGATGAAAGAATCACACCCAAGCATATCCTGCTTGACTGTTGATTTTTCCATCACAAGGGATAATTATTTCCAGGTTTCATCTATGAAGGATCTTTTTAATGTAAGTTCTCATTTAATTCTTGGATTTTTCAAAGAAACTGAGTTAATAGATAAACTTTGATTACCGGGGTATATGTATTGCAAAAAGCATGTGATTTTAATTTGGTAGAATGATTCTATAACTGTGATTGTTAGTGGCTGTACCTTCAAAGGGGGTTGAAGTATCGTAAAATAATTGACCCCCAGAGAGGGTGCGTAAGTCCCACTTCCTTCAATGTATGTTTCATTTTTCTGGATTTTAATCGTAGAATATTTGTTGTTTTTAAAAACTTTTTGGCTTAAAATGTCTAACAATCACCAGTAGGGATGGTGTGAATCCTGCTGGGGTACCATGCAGGAAGCAGATGTACCGTAAGTCCCCATGGTCCCTAGTATGGTGGCCTCACTTTGGTTGCTGGTGATCTCTAGCCCAATTTTATAATGTATTGATGAGAATAGTCAGATTTTTTATGGTTAGGTTTTGTTTGTTTGTTGTTTAACGCCACACTCAGCAATATGACGGCGGTCTGTAAATAATCGTGTCTGGACCAGACAATCCAGTGATTGATATCATGAGCATTGATCCACGCAATTGGAATCGATGACATGTATCAACCAAGTCAGCAAACCTGACCACCTGATCCTGTCATTTTTAATGGAAACATGCTAGCTTTAAATCTATATCTGTGATAGTCTAGTGATTTTACTGTCCTTTGTCGATAGATATTATAGTCCATATTTATATAATATTCCTGCACATCTTGATTTATTCACGATATGGCTGGAATACTGCCGACATGACTTTAAATTTTAACTCACTCACTCACTCCATCAACCAATACTTGTAAGAGGCGAGTAAAGGTATCGGGGAGGCAGGCTCCCTGACTTGGTTGACGCATGTCATCGTATCCCAATGATTTGGTGTCAATCACTAGATTGTCCTGGAGACTCCGTTGTTTACAGACCACCATCTTATAGTTCGAATATTGCACATGTTCTGTTTTGAATATGTTGCATACCTATTGCCCAGCTACAGTGCAGAATACTCGACTCTGGGTCCTCGACTGCCCAGTTTAAGTATACATCGCCCATAGCCTGGTAGTCAATGTCCATTCCTGCAGGAATAATGAAACATTCTTAATGTGACATGTACGTAATCAATGGATATAACTATTTAAATGCAATTATACGACTGTTTGAAACATTGATGACTCATTTTGTAAATCTGATATATTAAATCTAAATATGTGATTTGACAGAAACCACAAGTATTTCACTTTACCATCTCCATCATTGACGTGTAAAAACATTGGTGGAGTCATGTCGACAGTGATGGGTTCAGGGTGGGATACAGTGGTGAGGCCAGCAGCATTCCTGGCTGTGATGGTCAGGTATAGTTTCTGTTTGTGAGACAGCCTCAGACCAGACACAGTTCCATGTGCATGTCTGCCAACACTCTTATACCTCAGCACCTGAGTTCCTCCGGGGACAGTACCTTTACAAGACAATAATTGTATTGGCATCACACTAATTTGATCTATGTTTCTCTCATTACGTGTAAATTATAACACCAAAGGTATCTGGGTACCAATACGTCACATCAAAAATAGACGTGTTACTTGTAAATCTGACTGTATACTTGACTGATGCTAATGGTACAATGACGAACATGTCGTGCACATGAAATTACAAGTAACAGCACAGTAAAAAGTCAAAGTCATATTGAAAAGAGCAATTGCTATTGCAGATGAATTCTTGAGTGTTAAAATGGAAGACATACAAATTAGATTTGTCACCCTGTAGCTGCCTCCTTGTATTAAGAAATGTGATGTGAGTCATCTTTAAATACAACAGATGCTTTCCCGTGTTTTTTCAGGTGATCAAAGAACTTGCCTTTGCATGTGTTTGCGACAGGTGTCGCCGGTGGGGCAGGTCACTACAGACATGAACGCACTCTCTCACGCACAAGCACGCACACACTCACACACTTTTCCACTCCCAAAAGATTAAGCGAACAAGATATAGGTTGATGAGACATAATCTTATCACACGTACCTGCGGCCATTGTATATTCTACAATTGGAGATTCTCGATCATCATAGTGCCATGATGCATGGACTGATGACCAGTGCTTCCGGAAGACAGATTGAAACAGGGTGTTATTTTCTGTCACCATATTATCTGCATTCCCCACATAATCCACTCTCTGCAACAACACGTGATCCAGGGCCATTTCCATGTTGTTAGAGGACGTCCCGATCTTCAACAATGTTGTGGTGTTCTGTGCCAAGAAGGTGAAGCTATACTGGCTCCACAAGATGATCCGCCCTCCAGTATCATGACACGTATCTACACAAAGGTGAGGATCGAGGCTGAAAGTAAAGGGGTCATTTCCAAACGAGATGAAACCTTCTACTGCTTTCTGATTGATAGTTATGTCCAAAGGATACCCGACATGGATGGTTACTTTGTATTTGCCACCAACTTCAAGGTCCCTGACACTCTGTTGTATGCTGCCTCGTACAGAAACTAGAGTCTTCCCATGTTTTGCATGGGGAGCACCAGATGTCATTAGCTTGATGCAAGAGTGCCTCCCAGTCTCCCATGATGGTGGTTCAGGATGACAGTCACTGGATGCTGATTCTCGGCTTATGCTTTCCTCAAAGGAAGGATTGGACAACAAATTGTTTCCCAGATACGCAATGTTCTGAACCACAGGTGGAGATGAATCAATGATGACGCCATCTGATACAACCACTTTAGATGTGTGGCCAACAACGTCTACTGCATACACTTTGGTCCATATTTGAATTCCTGTAAATAATATTCATAAAGCCTTTAAGGACTCTTATAATCAACAGTGATAGTGTCCTGAATTGATAATACCAGTACCATAGTCAATATGTATCAGACAAATGCCTATTTTTAACTGATGTACCCACCTGAACTGGCAACAAAAGAAACCAGAGAGACTGACATGTCTGTTTCATATTTAGATCTATTCATAACGATTCAGTGACAAGAAACTGTCCACAAGACCGCATGACAAGTGAGTGAGTGAGTGAGTTTGGTTTTATGCCTCTTTTAGCAATATTCCAGCAATATCACGGCGGGGGACACCAGAAATGGGCTTCACACATTGTACCCATGTCGGGAATCGAACCCGGGTCTTCGGCATGACGAGAGAACGCTTTAACCACTAGGCTACCCGACCGCCCCACGGCATGACAAGAGGAACGATTTCAACTTTCAAATAGTCAACTTTCCCTCCATGTTGAAAAATATTAATATTCCTGCAGCTCAAGCCCTTGCTGTCTACATGTCACAACTTTCGAGGTACAATCGAGCATGCTCTATCCACGAAGATTTCAAAGACCGTCAAACGACTCTTGCTCAAAAGTTGTTTGATCAATATAACAACATTCAAGGCCTCAGTCAAGCTTTCAAAAAGTTTTATGGTGGACACACGGAGGGCATTTCCAAATTTGACGCATCAGTGACCAAAATTATGTCCCGAAGCAATGCTCTATTTTGATTTATGATTTGTGCTTGCTTTGAAGAACGTGTTCATGTATGTTTATTATCCACCTCCATGAAGTAGTGGGTTCGTCCGCCCGTCCGTCACGCTGATATTACTGGTCATGATCTAAAATGAGTTCGGAAATTCAAAAGTCTTAAATCCATTTTTAAGAAAGTTATGACCCTTCCTCCATGCTTTACAACTTACTTACTTTTAAGCATACTGTCTGAAATGGGGACAAGTTTTCTCAGAAACTACTGAAGTAACATGAATGAAACTTTGCAAGTTGATCTAAGAAATACTTATCAAAAGTTTGAAAATTGGTGCACATTTTGTTACAGAGTTAAGACCATTGCTCCATGCTTTTTAACTTATTGCAAAGTGTCTGCAATGGGGGCAACCTTTCTTAGACACTACTGACGTTACATGAATGACGTTACATGTTTGCATGCTTATCTATAAGATACTTGTCAATACTGTTTTCGATAATAGGTCCCGTAAATTATTTTGCGAGAGTTACTTCCCTTGCTACATGATTTTGAGCCTGCACCGTTAGAGCCCTTGATCGATGTTGTTTTACAAAGTGCACAGTGTCTGCAATGGTGACACGTTTTCAAAGAAACTACTGAAGTTAGCTTCTCTAAGAGATACAAGACTGAATTGGTGCCATAAATTATTGTTTCCATAGAAGGGTCTTTTTGTGCATATTAATTTCACATTTAATCAATTTTACTGATGAGATAAACCTACCCCAGTGCCTTCTTAAGACTTTATAGGACTCTTTTTCACAGTTTCTGTTCACTATACTATATGAACAAACAAAACTCTGTATTTATTTATTTTATAACTGCGAACCGTTATGTCTGACACAAACAATCAACAATTAGGTATTTAGTTATTGTTATTTACATCTATCTGTTGGATGAATAAATTATGGTAATTGCTACGAGTCTATTCTTTGTGGTGTAATTTCACTTCGTGGCTATGCATCAATGTGATAGTAATTGATACAAGAGCCTGGACCATTTTTGTCAGATAATGTTTATGTTTGGTTCAGTCCCTTGATTTGCCACTTAATGCAAAAGGTCCAAGGACCATCTCTGTGGGCACTGTGGTCTGATGTCACCACGTCGTTTGTCTCGAAGTATAATTATGTTCCAATAGTTACACTATATTTTCTTTTTAAAACAACTAGTCGAATGATTGATGTTAATACCATTATCAAGTGGTGAATCCAGGCGTGTCTTGGCTGAGGTATGTAGCCCCACATTCTGCCAATCCAAGATGTTGCATCCAGATGTATCATTGGTTGTACCAACACACCAGACATATTTGCTGATTGTGGAATCTTTGTCAGCAAACCCAAACCAGGAGGCAGTTACACGTGTCTGGGAGGGTTGGTAGTCAATATCACCGAGCCCTGGAGAGTGAAAGTAATGATGAAACAATGTCATGCTCACCGAACTACTTAAATATATGTGACCCCACAGACAGTATACATAATACGCCCTGTAATGATTGAATATTTAATGGTATTGGATTCTTGTTCATAACTTTGGTGAAATCCTATGCCTACCGTCGCCATCTTCTAATATCCCCGCTACTGGTGACGTGACATCGATCTGTACCCCATCTGAGAACGCCCAAGCAACCAGTCCTGCTTTGTTATATGCTAATATGTTGGAGTAGTAGATTGTGTCTGATTCTAGAGACAACCCAGGCAGTGTGCAGTTAGTTGTAGTCATGCCTGACGACTCATGTATGCTGTAACCTGAAACATACCGGCACAGGCAAAGTTTGCATTTAGTTCTAAGCATTCCGATTAATGCACACACATAGTTGCAAATGCTTTTGTTGTCCAAAGGTTACATGTTGTGGAAACATACCGCCGGGTGAAGTACTTGTATATGCCCCGTATTTCAGGAGTCCTGCCTGTGTGTCCATGAACACGTTGTTCCAGCTCAGGTATATCCTATCTACACGGCTCTGATAGTCGGTGTCTTTCCTGTCTCCAGATTCTAAGAGTTCTTTCACCTATCAAGAAAAACATTGAATTGTGACTTTGAAGTGAAAACGACTTTATCAAAAAGGCTCATTGTGATTATATTTGGACATTTGTAATACAAGTCCAATCATATCTTATGAAATATGTGATCATTATGTATTTGATATGTTTTGTAAGATTCAAAACTGATGGAATGAATTCATATCTATTCTGATAGTATATTACGCAAGTTTCCTACCGCTACTCCTTGTCGTGACGCTGTTCTTGGTCTTGTAATATCAATAAGGATACCATCAGATTTGTAGATTTTGTAGGTCTCCTCGTCATACCAAGCTCGCACAAATACACTGTAACTGACCCCTGATGTCAGCTCATGCCCTGGAATAAAAATATATACAGGCTCATGTGCGTTTAGATATAGAGTAAACATAGCATTTAGGCAAATACAGAACAGAACACACTTATCCCTCCACCCCCTTACCTTTCGGTAGTGCTATGACTGTAGACTTTAGACGTCCTGCATCAAACCACACTCGTTCCTTACTTTCCTCATAAATCCCAGCCGGATATGACAGACTTGAATACCCAGCACTGAACTCATACCTGCAAATAACATCGTTTAAGGCCTGTATCTATCTCAGACATAAGTAAACGGAAGTAGTATATTGGAAATGGAAGTGGAAATGGTACCAATTACCTCACAGGGTAGGCAGTTTGCATGTTGGTTACCGTCCATGTTGCTGCAAGGAATGAGTCATAGGGAGAGAAGTCCACGTCATCGCCCAATACCGCAGATTTAAGGTCAATGATGTCAATGACAGTCAGTGAAGAATTTCCTACATCAAAAACTGTCACATAGATTTGGGCATAACGTGGAGACAGGAGGCAGTACGATGTTTTGTGTAAAATGAAAATCTTTTATTTCTATAAACCATGTTCAGAATTGTAAATATTTTGACTATATTTAAACAAGGTCTTCAGTTACTTTATCATGACATTGTATTGGCCCCTCCGGAGTTCGATATCCCACTTGGGTACAATGTGTGAAGCCCATTGCTGGTGCCCCCCACCGTGATATTGTCCGAGTATTGATGAAAGCGGCGTTAAACAATACTCAATCCTACCATTTGGAAACACTTTGCATCCTTGACTGGTGCCACACGTCTTGTCCTGGACGGCACAGACGCAGTGTCCCTGACAGCTGTAGGAGCTGCACCGTCTCACCAATTCCAGCTCCCCTCCCCCTCCCAAAACCAGCTCGGAATGGAGGGGGCGGCTCTGTAGTCCAACCTGCATCACGAAACGAAGTGAACCACAAAGAAAGGAAGAAAAACGAGAAAATGTACACAACAGCAGCCAACAAGGAAAGTCAACTATGACAAAGTAATTACCCCATTTACTGCCCTCATGGTGATGAAAACAGAGGATGTTGATGACATGTCAGTGGTGCTGATGTTGAATGTCTGCACTACTCCCTCATCTTCCAGGTCGACGCCACTGATGTTGTGGTATACCTTCACCAGCTGGTCCTGGACATACACGATACATACATTCAGAACATTATTACTTGTTGGTTGGTTTGTTGTTTAACGCCGCACTCAGCAATATTCCAGCTATATGACGCCGGTCTGTAAATAATCGAGTCTGGACCAGACAATCCAGTGATTGACTTCATGAACATCGATCCACACATTTGGGATCGATGACAGGCATCAACCATGTCAGTGAGCCTGACCACCCGATCCAGCCAGTCGCCTTTTAGGGCAAGGATGGGTTGCTGAAGACCTATCACAGGTCTATTACTTGTCAATGCAAGAGAATAGCCAGAGTAAGTCATGTGCTGAAACAGATTCCATTTGGCTTAAGGGGCAAAATAGCCGGGCAAATTATATGAATGGAGCCCTGAAAATCAGTCATAAACCACACTACTTTTCTTCCTCTGAAACTTAATATTGCATGCAGATGTTACCTTAAATGAAGTAAGATGAGTTCTATGGATGAACAACTTCATCAAGTGATCACTTGCTTGATAAAGGTGTTAGGATCTACACCGAAACGTCGCACTAATTGTAATAAAGAAGTTGTTCATCCATAGAACTCGTCTTACTTCATCACAACAACTTCTAAATGTCACTCAAAGTAGTTACCTTAAATGCCTAAAATATAGATGTGACATAGGAATCGAAATCAGTTCAGTTAACCTCTAGACTTGTTAATACAATGTCAAATATATAATGTTGTAACCTGTGCCAAGTTGTTAGCAAACGGTCTAGAGCCAACTGTAGTTATATAATGATCTATGCCAGAGTGTAGATCGGCAAAACCCAGCCATGCAAGACTCAGGCTGTTTGTTGTCCAAGTCATCCAGCCAGACTGATTCCTTGACAGTTTGGCAGCATGGTCCGTTTGCACAGCAAGTGCCCCTGCAAAGATGAGATTGAATAAGATGTTCTTGTGCAGATAATTTCATTATACACACACTACAGTTCAATACTAGTATATAAGATATATTATATCAAAATCTATGTTTATGGTTGATATTGACCTACCTCTTGTTGGTTCAGAGCTGTCAACCAAAATGTCTCCTGTCTGAGTTTGTGTACAGAGACCAGCCATGTTGCATGCTACAACCTTCACCCTGTAGTGACTTCCGTCATGAAGCTTCAGCTGTGTGAAGGTAAATTCTCTCAACAGTCCTGGAATCTGAAGGGAAAACGTGTCTTCTGGTTAAGGTTGTTATATACAGTAGACGGATTGTATTACTTAATTACATACGTTTATCATGTTTGTTGAACAGATATTAATGCAAATCAAATCGAAGATTGAGAAGGTCAGCTAATGCTTTGAGTCTTGTCTTGTTTCAGTAATTGGTATTGGAAAGTCCCTGTCAACACCTGACTGTTGGCTCTCACCTCCATCAAGGAAGAATCAAACTCCCCCAACTGATGAGTGGAGATGGAGATGTACTGTCTCTCTATGAAAGACTCCTCGTCCTTCAGCTCCCAGCTGACACTCACAGTAGACCGACTTATCAGCGTCATGGCAACCAGCGATCCCTGCCCTCCCGCAATATATGGAGCCTTTACCACCTCAGGCGCGCTGTCGTCAATGATGAAACCATTCGATGTTGATGTGGTGAACGTTCCTAGAGTCATTTCCAACTGGAGTCATTATCACATAAAATACCAAAGCCCCGAGTATTTGAATATTCATAGCTTAGAGAAACGAAAATGATTTGAACCTAACTGTGAAATGGTATAAATTAATATATACTTATAAATGCTTTCCGCATCACTTGCCGCATAACATAAGTAGAATTATGTCAAACTGTCATTCCTAAAGAATGTTCATTATCTAAAACGTTCAACCTAATGTTTTTTAAAACATTTCTGACAGATAAGGTATAGGATATTCATCACTGTAGGTGATATGAAAGAAAGCTTGATTTCAATGCAGAGCACGAAGTGTTTGTATCTTGAAATGACTATTACTTTATCCTGAATCTTTCATTTACTCATACCTGCTTTGTTGAACGCTCTAACTGTTATATACATCCTTTTTCCGACTGGAAGCAGCTGGCTTTCATTCAGTGTATGGAATGCCACCTCTTCAAGGGCAGCATGTTGGGATGAGAGAATATCATTGCCTCCTGGTGTTGTCCCCACCTGCCATTCATAGAAGTCCAGACCTGACTCTGTGTCCTGGAACCCATGCCACTTGCAGCCCAGGAACGTTCTAGTGACAAGACATGTAGATATGAATTTTATTATATTAATCCTGCGTACATACAATCGCTATAGTATTGTATTGATAACTGGGTGAAACAAATGAGTATATATTGCGATGTATAGTGATTTTTGTATACATAATATAACCACGATGTATAGTGATTTTATATACATAATATAAGACCCGTGGAGATCCTGGGTAGAATAGGTCTAAAGCGACCCATGCTTGCCGTAAAAGGCGACTATGCTTGTCGTGAGAGGCGACGAATGGTCAGGCTCTCTGACTTGTTAGATGTATGTCATCAATCCCAATTGCGTGGATCGATGCTCATGATATTAATCACTGGATTGTCTGGTCAAGTCTCGATTATTTACAGAACGTCGTGATATAGCTGGAATACTGCTGTGGCGTTCAACAACAAACCAACCAACATAATATAAAGTTAATATGAAAATAACTTAGCATAAATATGAGCAAACCTGGATGCCTGGTACTGGGAGTCTCGGTCGTGTGTGCCGTCCATGACGCTGCCAGGGACCGGTGGACTTTGATCCAGGATGACACCGTCAGATGTGGCGCTGCTGCACAGTCCCGCCTTGTTACACGCTGTCACTGTCACGTAGTACCTGACACCCTCAGCAAATATAATGTGATGGAACACTACATCTGGAAATAAGCACAAGGTTACTTCAGTTTGCTGTATCAATGTTGCATTCAGTATAACATTCAGTAATAAGTGGTAAATGCTAAAATCTATTTCAGACTATTGATGGTAATGGGGACTAAACAGGGCAAAATGCATAACAAAACATTAAAATGCTGTTTGAAATTGAACGAAATCAAGACATATTGCCTAAATGGAATTCAGCTACGATCTTGGAGTGCCTATAATACACAAATGCACAGGATATCTGTAGAGAAACTCAATGTACTTGAAGCTGGCCTCCAAAAACTCGAAAGATTATACAAAGGTGCCAAAGGTGAACAGTGTATACGTTGTATGGTGCCCATGTTGTGTAATGAGGATAGAGAATTAAGTCTAAGATTGATTTAAGTGACAATACATTTAATCCTAATCTACCTCACATGGCACTGGGGTTGTCACAGTGAAATGATGAACACTGTTGCTGTATTCTTATAATAAAAACGAATTAACACCAGTATTATGAATAACAACTTGTTTTAACTTGATAATATTTTTTTAAATACAAAAATATGCCTTTATACTTTCAGACCATTAGTTCTGTCGATGCCATTTGAAGTCATGAACAGGAAAACATCATGTAGGTTCATTGTTTTGCAGACCTGACCAGTTTGTATACCTCTCATCTGGTACCTAATAAAACCCACCTGTTCTTGCACCAGCATCATATTCCGCCACTCTGTCCTCACAACCAGGGCAAGTCCCAACCTTGACCCAAAAGTGTGAAATTGCAGAATGGAAATCGGAAAATCCGTCCCAGTGGGCTCCCATGTCCTCTGTTCTGGTAATATGATCTCTATCCTTCACCCCTGCTGAACCAGCTAATGATCTCCCATCAAACACATGGCCGACACTAGGGGCTGTTGTATCCACTTCCAGGGCATGTGACGTGATGAATGTGGTGAGACTCACTCTGTTGTAGGCCTGCAGAGCGGAGGGAAACAGATACATTGTCTGTTCATTCACTGATAAATGAAGGACTTACATTGGCTTGAAATACATGTATGCTTTCATACTTTGACTACTGTATTTTCTTGAGTATAGTGCACCCTTTTTTTCCAAAAAACACAGGTGTGTAGAAGGGGGTGCGCATTATACACGAATTAATGAGTTTTGATGTTTTTTCCCCCATGGAAAGACATTACCGTGAGCACGTAACACCGGAAATACCATGTCAACAAATCAATACTGAAGTACACAAATTAGTCATGTAATTACACAAATTCCATGAATCTTTTTTTCCCCAAAATATTGAATCCGCTAGAGGGGGGTGCGCATTATACATGGCTGCGTACTATACTCAAGAAAATACGGTATGTCGTCTTTGATGCTTAATGACTTATGGTAAATCATGGAATTGAGGACTCATGCGATCGTTTTATCACAACCATTCAGCCTCTTCAACTTCTATAATAATGTAAAAGTGTCAACGTGCATTCTGCCACTAGATTCAACATAATTGTATCTGGACCTTAACTAAAAGCATGTTGGATATCCAAAGTTATATAACACTGACAAAATCACCTTTACTGTAACAAACAAACTGTGACCATCTTTCATAGTTTGGGAAATGTCAAGTTCTGCACAATGGTTCTCTACTCGTCTCAATTCCGAGATGTCCTGGTGACCTGGTCTACTTCCAACATAAACATCGAATTGTTTGATACCACTCTCATCGTCCATAAACACTCCCTCCCAGCTGAAATACAAAATAACAAGAAATACACTACTTGTTATCGAACTATTATTGAGCCCTATCAATGTCCAGAGTTGGAGTACACATAGCATGTGAAACTGTTTTATTGGCTGTTTGATTACGCTGTGGTCAGAAATATAGAACATGGTAATATAGAGAAAACCTACTTCATCAATGACTTTCATGGAGCAAACAAAATGTGAATGATGAAATCAATACATTTTAGTCCACTGTGCCTAACACAAGGTATACAAGCACAGAATGTTAAGTTGTGTGAACAATAATCAAACTTATGTTTCTGTGATTTTAAACTAATGAAGAACATAACCTGTTTTAAACAAATTTGTAAATTTTCTAATAAATTGTATATTTACATACTTATCCTATCTCACACTATGCATTTCTTCTTATTCTACGATCTTGGTGTGGAAACGTCCTAGAACAAAGTTTCCAGCTTCAAAAAACACCACTCACCCAAACACATCCCTTACATCACCAATCACCACTGTGATCATGGTTCACGCACCACTAAAATCCAGTGCGACACGACCCCAGTGTCCTGATCACCTGACATATCCAGCACCCTCATTCTCATTCCTGAGCGTTCAGGCTAGTGTAACTGTGATGCGGGGATGGTTGGGTGGGCATATAGCGTGTGAGATAGGATAAGTATATAAACATACAATTTATAAGAAAATTTACAAATTTTTAAACTTATCCTATCTCATACTATGCATTAATCCCACGGTTGGAAGGTGGGGCACAGATACCCTAGCCTGTAAGGACCTCAACCGTGAGACGTACACGAGGAAGCTTGAACTAATCAGGAAAATTCAAGGATTTTACAAGGATTAGTGATAAACTTGTGTAAGGGTTGCTTCAAAAAACCCTCTTTGTGCTACCAAGAGATATACATCATGACATCGGGGAATCATGTGTTCCTTGGTTTCACACAGGACGCTGTTCCAGGAACGACCGCGTAACCATGAGCTAGGCGACATCTACTCGGTCACGACTTAACCTCACCCCGGATAGGAGGAGGGGTCTTGTTTCAAACACCCCGTCCCCAGCGCAGGTTCTACAAGACAGACCTCACAAGGCGGACCAGCTTGGCATCTCTTTTATCGCTTCGTCAACCTATCAAACTCAGGTAGAGATTGAATAAGGTAAGAATGAGAAGAGGAACGATTGACGATACCCGTTTATCACACAGGTCTTCAATCAACTACTGAGACATCACATGCTCAAAGGCAGAAGTGAGCAGGTAGAAGATCGGGACACCATTTAAACAAATGGCCGCACCAGATGGTGACTTCTGTTGGTGTTGACCCGTTTATCACACAGGTCTTCAATCAACTACTGAGACATCACATGCTCAAAGGCAGAGGTGAGCAGGTAGAAGATCGGGACACCATTTAAACAAATGGCCACACCAAATGGTGACTTCTATTGACGTAGACCGAAGTCCCAACAGACAAGCATATATACCCTCCCAATGGGAGCTTGTCTGGGAAACCCGATTAACATGAGCAATAAATGAAATTATTGCAGTATATACAGGAAACCAGACTTAGGACTTGTAGTCCACTGGGCTTCCTCATCTGCACTGTGTGGCTGCTGTGACCTGGGAGTAGGAGGTGAAGACCATATCAGAACGCCATAATATCCCTCAATGATGGCTGAAAGTGTGCAATACTATGCAACGCCAAGGTGGAAGTCACTGCCCTCATCTCATGAGGATTGGAAGCAGCTGGGGTGGTAGTCCCTCAGAGGCGTAGACCCTGAGGATGATAGAACGCAGCCAGTGGAGATGGTGGTTCAAGATACATCCGAAGTTGCAGCCGTCGACAAGTGGATGAAAACATGCTTGCGACAGTGACGGATGGTCTGAGATGCCTTCAAGTAGATCTTGTAGGCTCAGGCTGGACAAAGTGAGACGTCTTCCATGACATCAGCTCTCAATCAAAGAGAGTGGTGGAGGCTGAAAAGACGATCTGTTTCACTTTGAATGCTATCTTATTGAAGACACTGGAACCGGACTCAACCGACGTCTAAGGCACGAGTCCTTCTAACACGAGCTGCAGGAGTCAACACAAGCAGGAAAATCGTCATGAACGTAAAGTTCGAGGTTTTATCCACAAGTGGTTTATAGTCAGCCAAGAGAAGTGACGGAGGAATACAGGGAGAACCCATGCTGGACGGCTTATTCTGGAAGATTGGTCCATAAGGTGGTAGGAGCGAATCAATATCCGAAGGTCAGTGACAGCAGAAACCTTGGAACCTGAAGTCATGGTAACGCCTGAATTACTCGCAGTCTGAAAGATCTGTGTAGATCTATCAGTTCGGGAACTGTAGCAAGTTTTATCCCATAAGTGTGTAGTTGGTACAAAACTGATCGCTGTCCAGTAAGTGCCCAGTGTCAAATCATAAGATGCCTTTTACTTCTTAAGTGACATAGGTAATCTGCTACTAGTGGTATGATAGCTTGGCTGCAGAAAATCCTGGATCTTGCAAACTTTCCCATTTATCATCACCTAGATTCTCATTGATTGACGAAGTGCTAAGGAGGCTGCCTTAGCTGCTCTAATGGAAATCATCTTACGAGACTGCTCTTGATATACTCCATACGTGAAGTTCGTATAATTCTGGTCTTGGATGGACCTGATTGGAGTGAGGATGTAGCAGTAGATGTGACCAGTTTGTAAGTCTTAGTAGTGGAATCTCTGCCAGTTTGACGATATCTGGAACCCAAGTTCTTGTCGGTCAGAAGGCGCTACCAACAGCAGTTGTAGGTAGCTCGTGTGTAGAATCTTGTAGAATCCTTGGTATCAAGGCTGGTGGGGGAAACGCATACGCGTTTAGGTCCTCCCATGATAATGTCAGAGCATCGATTGACCAGGCTAGTGGGCCCGGTGCTGGTGACACAATGTTATCTCATGCAAATAGGGTTATTAGTAGACAACCTTTTCTTTTATTGCCAGTTGGAATGCTTCGGCTGTAGCTTCTGGACAAGGTGTCTGCTAATCCACTTGCCGCTCCCGGTATATGTCTTGCCTTTATCTGTAAGTTGAGCTTGTCTACCAAATGTGAAAAGTCAACTGCAGGAGTGTCTCTGATTTCATTGTGCCTTGAAGGTGCATGCCATAGTTGAAATGAGTGTCCTGATCCTCAGACATTGGTTTCTTGTCTGTGGGTTCCAAAGAAATATTGCCCGGATTACAGCCTCGTATTCCAGATAATTGATGTGGTAGAGCTGTCTGCTTCTGACCATAGGCCTGATGTTACTTCCAAGTTGAAGTGAGCTCCCCGACCTTGAAGTGAGGCATCCATGTACAGGTGGTTGTTGTATTCCGGCTTGTGTAAACAAGTTCCTGCGTACATAATTGATTCCACTGTCCTTCACAAGAGGTGTTTCCTCAATTTGTTCTGGTACTAGGATGTTAGTCTGGCTCATTAGACTTCATCCCAAGGAATGGAGATCCTGGAATGGTTGTCATTCTGACTTCTGAAAATTTATTAACCAACCTAGTTGTGTGGTCTGAGTAATTGTTGATATCCAGGCTTGAATCCCTTCATCCAGGTAAAATGTATTACGGATTCCTGTGTGATGAACAGCAATTGGTTTAGTCGCTCGTGTGCATAGTCATGGGTCGAAACAATTCCAAAGGGTAGTGTACCGCCAGTGACAAGAAGGGTGGTTCTCCTTCTGTTATGTCAGTCCAAGCTGTCGTCTGTTGACTGGTGGCGGTTGGAATGGGGTAGCGGAGAGGTCGTCCGAAGTGTAATAGCTATTACCATACGTAGGATGTTGAACTTTCGAGTTGTTGATGTGGAGATGAGTTTGTCTGCAGATCGACGTTCAAGCACACATAACACAAAAATTGTGTTCTAAAGCGATTGTAAAATCTTGACGGTCGTGTGTGTGATCTAGTATCTAGTAGAAAAACGAGGCTGAAGATGCAGATCACCTCTTCTCACCAGGTGAGCAGTTGCTCTAAGCCAATCAACACTCACCTCTTGGATGTTTGGGAGGGCCTATGTATATATGACTGTCATTCATTGGACTATTTGTGTTGTGCTAACAAAGTGACTGTCATGGCTACTGAAGATGTAGTTTACTGGTTGGCTGTTTGTACGAAGCAAGGTAATCTGGATCACGTTGAAGAGCAGTAGTAGCAGAAACCGTGCCTTGAATAGACGAGGAGAACATTAGGATCATATACCAATAATAAAATGTCGATATTCACCAGCTCTCGTCTTGAATAAGTGAGGAATGACTTGTCCTGCCAGGTTGATCGGCGACGCGGAGAACTAGTGAAGAGATGATGGATTCTATCGCCTAAGCACCGGAAAAAAGCGCTGTGCATTTCAACATCGATGCGACGACAACAGGCGTTGTGAAGATGTGAGAGACCGTGCGTATAGTCATTGACTACTACTGTAAATTCTTCGCTCGGCTCGCATGAGATCAGTCTGTACCAAAGTCAGCATGGTAGTCTTGTTTACAAACAGCATTCTCGGCGTGATATGTAATTCACCCTTGCGCAGAAACAGGAAATACAGATCTTTCCGATCGCGTGGTCAAAAGCTCCCAACACACGAGCGGTGTCCCGAGTAACGAAAAACAAGGGTGTAGAGGCAGTCAGTTGCTTGTAGAATATGGTCATAAAGCGATATAAAGCGATATGTGTCGACGTATCGATGTATCCATGTGTCGCCGTATCGATGTATCGACGTGTCACTGTATCGATTTATCCATGTGTCGACGTATTGATTTATCCATGTGTCAACGTATCGATGTGTTGATGCATCGATGTGTATCGTAGAATGGGGATCCCTCGGTATCGATCTGTAGAAGAGGCAAAACTATTGATCCTCCGAGGTACGATCTGACGGACTGTCCATCCAACATCAGCGTTTTGTCGATAATGGTGAAGTCTGGTGATCTGTCAATCTGTCGATCCCTCGGTCGTCTATGATCCCTTGATCACTCGGTCGTTACGATCCAGCGAAGGTGGACGATCCTGTGAGTGAAGATCCGTCGTCAGGTGGCTATCACTTCCTCGCCGACGATTGTAGTGTTTTCGGTAGAAGGGTTGTTGCCATTAGAAAGCCTGAGAGGTGTAGCTGTATCCTCAGAGCGCTGTAGAAGCGATGACCCGAGTAACAAGTGTGTCTGGGGAAGAGGCAACCCTCAGTTGACGGCTTGACTTCCCAAGCTGAGTAAAGGGCCGTAGTCCAACACGATGAACTGGCCATTTAAATGCGGGATGACTGTAGAAGCCAGGGAGCGGGCACGTGCACAGGGGTGTGGTCCGCACAGAGGCGGGAATCTCAACAGTCAAACAAGACGGAAAGCGATCCTCCTCTACGGATAGCGATGAAATCATCGCCAAATTGACTATAATATTTTGTTAGGCAAGAAAACGAAGGTACAGCTACAGGAGATAACACAATCGTTTGGGTTTCAAAGCGGAGGAAAAACAACATGCACGAAAACCCGTAAACAACGCCTTGAACCGACGAACAGTCGCCTTTATCGAACACTAAGCTAAGTAAGTTGAGATCCAATGGCAAGGTGGTACACAGTGGACATCGTTATTAATACCACTCTCTCTTCGTGGTAATGGTAAACTTTAGTAGTGATGTCGTGTATTTAAATTTTATATATATATATTAAAAAAAACAAAAAAACAAAAACAAACAAAATTTCTCTGTTCAAGAATAACCTCTTAACACCACAGCGATAGAATTGAGAATGAGGGTGCTGGATATGTCAGGTGATCAGGACGCTCGGGTTGTGTTGAACGGGATTTTAGTGGTGCGTGAACCATGATCACACTGGTGATTGGTGATGTAAGGGATGTGTTTGAGTGAGTGGTGTTTTTTGAAGCTGGAAACTTTGTTCTAGGACGTTTCCACACCAAGTTCGAAGAATAAGAAGAAATGCATAGTGTGAGATAGGATAAGTTTAAAAATTCGTAAATTTACTAATATGTACCACACTGAAAGGATGGGCGCTGTGATGTATCTTTCGTCAAGTTGTATGTTTATGCCTGTGTGGTAGGGTGGAGTAGAGTCGATGACGAAACCTGCTGACGATATAGCTGTGTGGCTGTCGACAAAGTCGGTAGCTGTAAACACCAAAATCAAAATCATCTCAGGATAAGATAGATTGTGTACAATTTTTACAAACCTGTAGAGGTTATGAATTCTCTGATGAAATCCTCCTTGGGGCACTTATTGCATTTTCCTTGCTCAAGAAAATCTATATGACATAGTTGTAACCATTTTCCTTAATAAAAAATGTTACCACACAAAAAACTTCGTTTTTGTATGATATACGACCACCCTTACGGGGCCTCACCCCCAACGGCGCCTCACGCCAGGGGGAGCAACTCTCACCCAAATCACTTTCCATATGTCAAATGCTGACGGAATGTGGGGAGGTGGGTGGCCGTGCCCCAAGGAGGATTTCATCAGAGAATTCATAACCTCTACAGGTTTGTAAAATTCTCTTTCTGATTAAATCCTCCTTGGGGCACTTATTGCATCAAGACAGACTCCCAAAGATAATCTAGGAAGTGGCATCCGTCAGCAACAGGCGTAAATAAATACATCGTATTTGATTATTCAACAGAATAAAATATTGAGTTCAATAAATGGAACCAACCTTATCGTGAGGCACCACCGTCGAAAGGCGGGGGCTAGAGACAGGGCGTGGTCGACCATATATTATGATAAAGCCTGTTTTTTGCGGCTTGTCATAAGTTGAGAACTCGAAACACCTCCCACCCCCCCACACTTTTTTGAACAAGTGATATAAGGGCGTAGATCACGAGAGACCATAACCAGCGCTGAGCTAGGCCAGAGGGTCCCCGAGGATCGAAGGAGTGCGTGCGCAAAATACGAGTATTATCGAGTAGTAAGGACTGATATTTATCGACCGCAGAAGATAAAATCCGGACCATTACTGAGCAGTATAACCGGAAGACTGTCTAAAATCTCGAATGCTCAATCAGCTAGAGATTAGAACTTTGCCCAGTTCGGAGAACTGACTGACCAAACCGAGTACGCTCGCTTGAGTGTTTGTCGAGTTGGTAAGGTTTGATGAATCGTGCTCGGCTGGCTCCAAATAGCCGCGGAGCAGATCTGCTCAATGGGCAGAGCCGCGGCGTACGCTTTTGACGCAGCCACTGCTCTAACCTAATGAGCCTACAACCTGGTAGGGGGGTCCCTGCCTGTAAGCGTATACGCTGTACAAATGTTTGAAACTATCCACCTCGAGATAGATTGTTTACTCGCAGGTGAGCCAACCTTCCTACCGCAGTAACAGCAAAATAGTTGGTTATCCTTACGGACACCCATATTTCTGCTGATATAGGCCTTGAGAGTCGTGCGGACATCCAAGACATGAGCATGTCTTGCAGTGGTCCCCGACGAGGAAGGCTGTGAAAGAGCGGGTAGCTCAATAGGAGCCGTTCACGTGGAATTGTGTGCGACCCTAGGACGGTAATAGTCCGGTAGACGAAAACTGACTGTCCCGGTGATATTTATCGACCCCATGGAAGACAGTTATTTTGGGATCGGCTGACATAACACGAATGTCGCCTACCCGTCTGCCGGACGTTACCACCACAAGGAACGCCGTCTCCCAGCTCAACAGCTGAAGAGAGAGAGACGACAGATCCCGAAAGGAAGGACCGGACAGCCAATCTAGAATGATTGACAAGTCCCAAGGGGGACTGATCCGCCGGACTGGCGGTCGGATCCTGTCCACACCTGCTAAAAAGCGCTGCACTAATGGGTGTGCACCCAGAAGTGCCCCGTCGACAGGGACGTGAAAAGCTGCGATAGCTGTAGAGTACCCTCGGACTGTTGATGCGGCCAGGCCGTCATCTAGTCGCGACTGGAGAAACTCAAGCACGGATACGAGATCTGCAGAAAAAAGATCTGCAATCCCTCTATCGACACACCTGGGCGCATAGCAGGCCTATCTATCGTACTGAACGTTTGTCGAATCCCTCCGCGAAGCCAGTATTGTGTCTGCAACTCGTGCAGGAATACCGCTCTTCTGGAGGCGATTCCTGACAGTGGCCAAGCCACCCATTGAATCCTGAGATTCGGGTGGAGGGCCCCGTTCTGGGATAGGAGGTCCGGTCGTAAAGGTAATATAACAGGAGGCTGAGCCAGAAACCTGAGTATTACTGGAAACCCACTCTGCGCCGACTAAAGAGGTGCCAGGAGCACAATTAGTCGCGCAGGCTGAGTGCCTAGCTGAGACAGGACCTTGGAAATCAGAGGTACTGGGGAGAATGCCCACAGAACTGTCCGTCCAATCTAGCTGAAAGGCGTCCGGTGCCACCGACCTCGGGTCGTGGACTCGGGAGCAGAACGTTGGTGTCTGGTTATTTAACCCAGACGCAAACAGATCCACCTGTAACGACCTGTATAACAGGGAGAAAATCCCGAATATCCCCGGGTCGAGCCTCCACTCGTGAGGAGCGAGGATCCGGCAAGACAGAGCGTCCGCACGGACGTTGTCCACCCCCGGGAGATAAACAGGTAGCACCCTGATATCGTGAGAGTCGCACTATAGTAGGAACTGCCACGTCTTTCGTCGAAGCGACGGAGACGCCGTTCCCCCCTGCTTCCGGATGTAAGTCATCGCCGTTTGGTTGTCCATTTCTAGACGAACCACTTGGCCACGAAGCAGATCCGGGAAGCGTTGGAACACCAACCTGACCGCTCTCAGTTCTAGCACATTGATATGCAGTTTGATCTCCTGCTGGGACCATAGTCCCGAGGCAGTGTGATCATTCAGAACGCCTCCCCAGCCGGAGAGTGACGCGTCTGTTTGAACTGTGAGAGACGGAACGGGAGTGATTCCCGACCTCGGTCCACCACTGGAGGTGTGTAATGAGCCACTACGGAGTCTCGAGCACAGTCTCGAGATCTTCCGAGTTCGCCCAAAGTCGACGGAGTGCTTGTTGAATGGGACTCATTCTCAAGCGCGCCCGCCAGACCAAATCCACTGTCGCCGCCATGTTGTCCAGTAACTGGAGCCATGTACGAGCAGTGTGACTTGCGCTTAAGGGACTTGATATCTTGTGACAGAGATACACGTCCTCTCACCGTGTTGAAATTAGCCACTAGGAAGACTAGATTCTGAGTAGGGCTCAGATCTGACTTCTTGAGATTGACCATCCACCCTAGAGTGATCAGAATATCTATCACTTGTTGTGTAGCTATCTGACTCAGGGATTGCAATAGAGCTCTTAGTAACCTAGTCGTCGAGGTACGGATGGCAGAACCGACCTTTTGACCTGGCCACTTGGGCGGGAATCAACATCAGCTTGGTGAACACCCTCGGGGCCGTGGAGATCCCGAATGGTAGAACCCTGAACTGATAACACCTCCCGTCGAAAGAAAACCTCAGGTATTTCTTGAACTCTGGATGTATTGGTATGTGGAGATAGGCGTATTTTAAGTCTATTGACGTTAGCCATTCTCCTGTCTCGACAGTTGAGATCACTGTTTGGTGACTAGGAAACAAGTCGAGTAGAAGCCCTCGCTTTCCTGTCCCTCGGGACCCGGTTCGATCGCAGCTTTCATAAGAAGTGCGTCGACCTCGGCACGGAGGAATTCCGCCTTCTCTCGGGTAGCAGGCACCGGTGTGTGCTTTATCCCGGAAAAGTGGAGGAGCGGATGAGTTTTCCCGATAACTTGCGACTATGGGTTCACCCGGGGCTCTTCGGGCGCTAATGGGAACCCATCGTTCCCAGCCCCGCGAAAAAGCTGTTGGCCTCGACCAGCTGCCTTGCCCCGGCCCGTGCCTCTCTTGCTCCTCACGGCGCCCTTATACCTGAAGGAAGCGGCGGCTTCCAAGCAGGTGTGGACGTCTGACCCGTGCGTTAGCGTAGGAGGGGACAATTGGAGAGGCCCGCTTACGCGGTTTTAACGCTTGGTACCTCCAACAAGGCCTTATGAGTCTTTGATGGAAGTATACAATTGAGCAGCCTCTCGGACCGCCTGCTGAGCCCCAGGGAAGAGGGTGGCACCCTCTTATACGGCAAAGCAAGTAGGTCTTGGCGTGTGTAAGTCGAGTATTTAGATACCGACATCCACCGCCTGCGCATGCACATAACAGCGCACATCATCTGCGATGCACAGCTACGAATAGCGTCCCGCGCAAGATAATGTTAGTTGCGCGGCCAACTCCGAAGAGTCGGCCGGCCCCTCTCCCGCTAACTCCCTCTGTACAGCCGACAGATACGCGGAGTGTACGGACACACGGAGCTGTTGGCATGCATTATGATATTGCTCCTCGAAGCATATGTAAGCAGCCTTCAACTCCGCACCGCACACGGGAAAGGGGGGGCAACCGCCGGCCCTGCTTGACCTTAGTCAAGTTGGGTGTCTCCGACTCTGGCATGGGCGCAGCAACCTGAGGCAGTACATGGACAATCCTGTCCCGCACGTGTCTCTGCACCCGGCCCGAGGCCGAGTCCCGGTGCCGAGGTGCCGGAGGTTCAAGGGAACCCACCTGGCACTGGGCTAGGTATCCACTAGTGAAAGCCTTGGCCTCGGAAGAGGCGTCTGGCTCCGCTAGGGTAAATTGTGCGTCGGTAGTGCACGGGCCGGTGCCCGCCACCACTACGCTGGGGAGCGACCTCGAGCCGGAGCCGAAGCTCGGTCTCGGATCGTCCCCGAGACAAAGGGAACCAACCTGGCTCCGGGCTAGGTATCCACTAGTGGACGCCTCGGCCTCGGAAGAGGCGTCTGGCTCCGCTAGGGAAAATTGTGCGTCGGTAGTGCACGGGCCGGTGCCCGCCACCACTACGCTGGGGAGCGACCTCGAGCCGGAGCCGAAGCTCGGTCTCGGATCGTCCCCGAGACAAAGGGAACCAACCTGGCTCCGGGCTAGGTATCCACTAGTGGACGCCTCGGCCTCGGAAGAGGCGTCTGGCTCCGCTAGGGAAAATTGTGCGTCGGTAGTGCACGGGCCGGTGCCCGCCACCACTACGCTGGGGAGCGACCTCGAGCCGGAGCCGAAGCTCGGTCTCGGATCGTCCCCGAGACCAAGGGAACCCCCCTGGCTCCGGGCTACGAATCCACTAGTGAAAGCCTCGGCCTCGGAAGAGGCGTCTGGCTCCGCTAGGGAAAAATTGTGCGTCGGTAGTGCACGGGCCGGCGCCCGCCACCCCTCCGCTGGGGAGCGACCTCGAGCCGGCGCCGAAGCCCGGTCTGAGATCGTCCCCGAGACCAAGTTGCCTGCCTCGGCCGACGCCGGGCATATCACAAGGTCTCGAAGCCGCGTCCGGCGCCGACAACGGGGAAGGCTCGGTCCGCATCTCCTCTCGGAGCTGAGACTTTACCTCCTCCATCATCGACGCCATCTGCGACTTAAGTAACGCAGAAAAGTCTGCCAAAGACAGTGCAGGAGAGGGTGCAGTGCTTACTACGGGGACCCTCGAGCCTTCTCCCCCGGCCCCCGGAGAGGGAGCGGGGGAGACAATCTCGGCAGCTTTTTTACCCTTTTTAGATGGGGAGGGGGGGATGTCTTAGTAGATCTGATATCTACCCCCGCCTTTAATAGACCTCTTTTAAGTGGAACAAGTCAACTTGTCTCTTTTGGGGGCCCCGGGGGGTAAAGGCAATGTCCTCCGCCAGACATATTCGGCAGCGTTCGTGCCTGTCTTAGAACAACCCGTACACAGTTTGAAGGTCTTGTAAACAAGACCGTAATTTCTGAGGTGGGCGGGAAGGGTATCAACGTGTATCAGTGCGATATAAAGATCGGAAAGAAACGTGCATAAATTGTGAAACTAGAAGCAAAGGCGTAATGTAGAATGCGATTTGTAACGCGATACTAATAGCCAATGTGTAGTATAATTATAACACCAAAGGGGCGTGTTACGCGCTAAGGTGTAAAAACCCGTAAAAAAAGTAAGTGTAGTTTATGAATTAACACACCACCTTGGGTTTTGTAAAGGAAAAAATTGTAGACCAATGCTGTATGATATAACAAAACCCCAAGCCGTTTCTTAATGGCCTTGGTGTTACATGTATCAGCCCGTGGAACTACAATATGGACGCCATTACGGCCATTTGAATTCAAAGGTACCGTGCACGTGGCGTATTATTACAACTCTATAACTTCACAATGCGAGGTATTACGCCTTTGCAAAGAAAGAAATGTACCATACATACAGTTTGGTCAGCCATGGTTCTTGTCGAACGATAGATTTCTCTTATTTTTGTCTTGTGTGAAAAATCAACACGTCTGTCTCTTACAGATGACATAAGGAAAGTGATTTGGGTGAGAGTTGCTCCCCCTGGCGTGAGGCGCCGTTGGGGGTGAGGCCCCGTAAGGGTGGTCGTATATCATACAAAAACGAAGTTTTTTGTGTGGTAACATTTTTTATTAAGGAAAATGGTTACAACTATGTCATATAGATTTTCTTGAGCAAGGAAAATGCAATAAGTGCCCCAAGGAGGATTTAATCAGAAAGAGAATTATTACTTTGTTTCAATCTGCTGGAATCCACAAATACATATGAATACATTTCATGCTGTAAATGGTAGTATTATGAGGTCAATGACAACAGTGGTACATATAGTTTCTGTAAATGGTAGTATTATGAGGTCAATGACAACAGTGGTACATATAGTTTCTGTAAATGGTAGTATTATGAGGTCATTGACAGCAGTGGTACATATAGTTTCTGTAAATGGTAGTATTATGAGGTCAATGACAGCAGTGGTACATATAGTTTCTGTAAATGGTAGTATTATGAGGTCAATGACAACAGTGGTACATATAGTTTCTGTAAATGGTAGTATTATGAGGTCAATGACAACAGTGGTACATATAGTTTCTGTAAATGGTAGTATTATGAGGTCAATGACAACAGTGGTACATATAGTTTCTGTAAATAACATTACTGAATCATTATTAGAAGACCTGTTTCATACACAGATATATACATGTACCTCTGACAGTAGCATAGATGACGTGTCCGTCTTGTAGTTGAAGACCTGATAGCATGGTGTGATTGGCGTGTCCAACATTTGCAAACACCCTGATGTCTTCCTCTCCTGGCATTGACCCTGTTACATGAACGCGTTTGTCATTTCAGCAATGTACATTACATTCTTATCTATTAGTAGATTATTCAATACTCGTACAAAGTCCATGTTCTGAAACTTCAATAAACTCTGTTCGTAAGAAGAAAGAAACAGAAGAAAAAAACCTATAAAACATTATGTACTTGACATACATCTCAACGTACAATATTGTCCTACCTAATGCAACATGATAGAAGGCGATGCCGCTCGCATGTGAACTTGTTCCTTCCTCCTCCACATCAGTAAAGCCAGACCAGTTAACACTCACTTCAGATGTGCTCATCTGTGAGAGATATAGTTCGTTAATGGATTATTCATAATCATCTCAGGTTTCAGTAAAAGAAGATGCTAACTGCGTTTGAACTTTTGAACAGAATGTTTCATGTTTCTAACTCAGTGTGTAACAAAGCTATCACAACTTCCAGTTTGGATTATGTAAAAATTTCCTGAAAAAATGCTTACAGCATAAGAGCGGAACGTCCAATATATCCAGATTAGTTGCAATGAACCGCCAATAGTCAACCCTCTCTGTTTGACTAACCCCATTCCGGTCATACAGCTAGGTTAGTCAAATAAATAAAGTGACGAAATGTATTTAAATTATCAATGCAAGAGAACAACCAGTCTACATTATCTGCCGAAACAGATTCCATTGGCGTAAAAGGGTGAAATAGAATTATATGAATGAACAACTGAAAATCAGTGATGACAATTAGTTGTTTGTGGAAACACTTTCCATAATCATAAGAAATCTTGTCTGACCATTGTACTATTCCGACTATATCATAAGCATATGTTTTTGAATCACTATCAAATTGTGATGATACCAAGTATTCGCGAAAAGGTGAGTGTATCCTGCCCCATCAGTTACACTCATCACAAACACATGCAAAGGTAAGTCAGCTGTCACTTGAAAAAGGACCACGGAAACATATGTCACTTTTGTCACTGATGCCAAGAAATGAAATGTTACATACCTGATATATGTTTTCCTTTAGCCCCTGGATACTGACCGAGCCAGGAGATGGTGGAGTGAGGTCGACAGTGATACCGTCACTACAAGCATTCACCTCTTTCAGGACAGTCGCCCATTTCTCATTTGTCACCTCCGTCTCATCGGCTTGAATACAGATGTGAAACCTCTGTCCATGGGAAAGTTCTTCCTTGTGGTCAAAGTGTATGTTGACAAATTCTTTTCCTGGAAGATGAACAAAACACACAATGCCATTCATATTAAAGTGTCAATTTTGATATGTAAAGATAAAGTTTAATATACTCAGCAAATCGTCTTGTTCAAAGTGCCTGGAATTTGGTCTGAAAGTATTTTTTTGTTTTGATAAATCTACGAGCAAACAGTTGTATTAACATGAAACATTTCAAAATATCAACAGTGAGCCACATACAACAGATTTAGAAGTTCGCGGAGAAATAGTATGTCCTCAAAAGAATCACCCGTTTCTCCACATTTGACAACATCGGCCAATGCACATGGGTCAGTGAAAGTCATCAGACTCTCCCGCTTGTAGTGAGATGTGGGGTCCAACTTGTCACCTGCTACCACCGCCCACTTGTACTTCCTGTGACGTAAACTTGGCCACACAGCAGACAGGACGTTTTTGTAGGGAGTATAATCAACATCCAGCATAGGCCACAGGGCATTCTGTTCTAAGGTGATGCTGTTCCCAATGTCCTTTCCAATCATTATACCTGCCAGGAATATATGACATACAGGTATGCAACTCATATATGAGTGAGTGATTAAGTGAAGTGAGTGAATATGGTTTTACACCGGTTTTAGCAATATTCCAGCAATTTCGCGGCGGGGGACATCAGATATGGGCATCACATATTGTAGACATATGTGTAATCAAACTCGGGTCTTCGACCTGACGAGCGAACGCTTTAACCACTAGGCTTTCCCACCGCCCCCACTGAAGGAACTAAACAAAACGATGAACCGCACGTGGGGATAACTCCCCTTCATACTCAATTCTTTAAACGGTCAATTACTTGTTTTTAAATTTTTCATGATATTGAACCAACATTTCAGTGATTTCAAAATCTGTTAGAAAATCTCTGTCGCCAGCAGGGCCCAGATCTTCATAATGTGATTTAAAGTAATAACTAACATCGGCTAGGCTACGGCGACATATGATAGAATGGTGTGAAATTATTTTTCAAATATTTCTATAAACCTTCAAGGCTCAACAAATAATACAATCAAATCACGTGAAAAGAATATACATGCACAGCAAAGAGCAACTCGCGACCGAGCGAAAGCCGAGAACACATTCCGCATGCATCATATAAGGGTGACTCATATAGTATAGAGACCCGTGAAGATCCGGGGTAGAATAGGTCTTCAGCAACCCATGCTTGCCGTAAAAGGCGACTTATCCTTGTCGTAAAAGGCGACTAACGGGATTGGGTGGTCAGGCTCGCTGACTTGGTTGATGCATGTCATCGATCCCAATTGTGTGGATCGATGCTCATGATATCAATCACTGGATTGTCTGGTCCAGACTCGATTATTTTGTAGAATTTTCCTATTCCGAATATTCTATAAGTAATACGTTACCACTGTTATCTGAGGCTGTTGTCTCCCACAACTGCTCTTATAGCGAAATCTTCCACAGAGATCTCAATCACCTCATGCAGCACGTGCGTAGCCACCTAGCTGCCATGTGACACCCTTCACTCTTGTCTCTTGCGAGAGCAAGTGCTCGGGGGACGGACGGGCGGGCAGCAATGGTAACGTATTACTTATAGAAATTACATTAAATAATAGGTTACCACTGTTATACCGAGGCTGACTACCACAGTAGGCGATGGGGAGCACCCACAAACCAAAACCTTGGACTTCCCGGCTGCAGTATCCTGAGGGGTAATGGGAGTCCCCGACCGGAGGCCGCCGCGAAGGCTTTCTCCAAAGACGGCTTAAATCTGCGCAACAAAGTTGACGCGGGAAAAGCCTTGTTGACAGACTCGTACAGTGACTACGCTAGCCGCCGCTGTACCCGTCGACCCCGCGTCCGAACCTGCAGCCACCGAAGGGGCCGGGGACGGAACAACCAGGGCCTTATCCTGAGATAAGGCCACCAGTTTGGAGTCCACCAGTTGAGACAACAAAGCCGCGACGGAATCAGACATTGTTCTTTGAACAAAAACAAAACATGGTTACAACACACACACCAAACATATTCACAAACATAGATTTTCCGAAGAAAAACAAACGATAATAGCGAATACATAAAATACATATAATAGATATATATAAATATTAATAGGTGATGCAAAAAAACACCACGATATACCACTAAAGGTGGACGGAAGACACAAAGTGCTGACGCCACACCCCGTTAGTAGCGAAAACAAAGGCAGGAAAATTTAGGCGGGAAAATTTTCTAAGCGCCGTATAACGAACGCCCCGTAATTTACAGTTTACTTAGGACGAAGAAACAGTAATAAATATCACAAAAGATAGGCAGGAGGTGGAAAACCGTAGAACGCAAGTAGAGCAGTCGATACACGTCTTGCTATGGCAAGCGAAGAGACATGAGTAAAGGGTGTCACATGGCAGCTAGGTGGCTACGCACGTGCTTCATGAGGTGATTGAGATCTCTGTGGAAGATTTCGCTATAAGAGCAGTTGTGGGGTACAACAGCTTCGGTATAACAGTGGTAACGTATTACTTAATGTAGTTAAAGACCACCATCATATAGCTGGAATCTTGCTAAGTGCAGCGCGTTAAACAACAAACCAACCAACCAACCATACAGTATAAATACTGAAAAAAACATTTCTGGCAAATTTCAACAATGTTACTCAACTTTTGTTAAGGACCTAACCTTTGACTATTTTGGTCCTTGGCAAATGTTATTAGTGTATTTTTCACAAATAAGTGTTTTGTAAATGTATTCTGGAAAGGGTTATGAAACGTCAAAGGAAATTTGTTTTGAAAAATACTTATTACTTTTCATGTACCCTCATGTATGTATGAAGTAAATACAATATGTTATAATATTTTAATAGGACATCATACTGAGGCATACATACAGTTGTGCATCGATTTTGTGAACATTATACTATTATTTTACATTTCTTACCAACGGCATCAATGACGAGCGAAGGCTTCACCAGGAGTAGATCAAAGGCAGAGCAGTTTCTGACATCAGCAGACACTACAGTAGAGTGACCCACTTTGTTGTATCCTCTGACGGCTAGGCGGCGACACTTACTAAAGTCCAGAGGTCTGGAGAGGCTGATCGTGAATAAAACCTGCCACACAAAAATGAAATTCACGTTATCAACATAACTCGTGTTTTGCAGATATCAAGAATGTGTTTTGAATGGAATCGTTAGTTTAAGATGAAATGTATTTTATCATTAAGGTTACCTGAGTATCCTGATTACTAAGATTGTTCACAGGTGTCCAATGTGTCAGAAGGTTGCTGAAATGTCCACTATCTGTCAGACTCCACTCAAACCTGTCCATCACAGCATACGAGTTGGATGTAACAGGTATGTCGCCATCGCGGAAACGATCCAGAGCAACCTCGAGCTGTGCAAAAGTAAAGAAAACTTGCTATTTGTAGTTTTTAAGTGTTTGACTGAGTTCAACACAACATGTATTAGTCATTAAATCATAGGACAACGATGGAAGATTATGTTGGCATTAAATGTTCAACACTGTGTATGGATATAGTGTTGTCAAATCTTGTATTCCGAACCTATCACACGCCAATTGCATTCTAAGTGCCACCATAAATATTGATGTCCAAAGGTGGCACCTTAGACCAGTATGTCATCTGTATATAAAATATATTGAAGAGCCATCTTCTTTCAGTAAGTTATACGTCCAAGTATATTTCTGCATATTCTATGTTGATAATATGATTGGCTACCGTAGTGCTCACTTGTGACATCAACTCTGTCTCCTTGTATGTAATGTTGATGCCCCCTGCTACAGGAGGATGGGGTATTACTGTCACGCCGTCACTATGCACGGGCCTGGTGCAGACTCTCACAGCACAGAACATGACAGCAGCCCTGTAGGTGTGTCCTGGGGCCAGGGAAAGTCCACTTAACACTGCATAGTCCGTGACTCCCAGGCTTGTGAACCCATCCACGGTGTGCCACAGATCATCTGGAAATGCATTATCTGTCTCTCAGGCATTTGTTGCTATGTGTATACAAAATATGGATATGTACGCACATTATACTTTATATCTCATCTTTGAACACTTTACTTGGCATATGTATGTATAAGTTGCCACCTGCATTTTACAAATGATATCTTAATATTGAGTGCACACACCCGTGTTATCTTTGGTCATTTGTATTACATTGTCCGATTCTGTCCAACTTGTGTGTATGTTGACTGATGCTACCAGATACAACATTCACAAGGCCAATGATCACTTAACTAAAGGCAGACTGTACAATAATATCATTAACCCTATTGTTCCACTACTGCTAAGACAATTAGTTTTGATGCTTCAACCACGTAAGATGCTTTTCATTCCACATTCTTCAAATTTGGACATTGGTGCCATGGTATGGAAGCCATGTTGGACTGAATGTTCTTGTAATGCAATTTATCCATTTTTTCAAAACTATTTGAACATTTGGTCTGCATTTCTACTGCAGTCAGCCTATTTTTCTGAAACTTGCCATGGGAGTGACTTTCTTACTCCGAATGGTTTATAGCCTTTGCTAATTAGTAAGCCTCAGATATTTTGTTTAAGTGTTGTTAGCTTCTCTTTCACTTGTGACCATGTGACCCAGAGAAGCCTTTATAATACATGCGGCTAAGAGCCCTACCTCTCTTCTTGAATCAATACGTTTCATTAATAATGTCAGAAACAACATCTCAATTAGAGACTATGCCCCATCATACGGTGCATATCAAAGTGAAAGATTGAGTATATTGTGGTACAAGAAACCACACATGTCAGTGTATTGTGTTCTGATATATAAAACCGGTGATAATAAGATGATATACCTGACCCATGGAACTTTGTTTCAAGACGTATCTGGACATCAGTGTAGGGAATGTTGACACCAGTCGCTTCCCAGTTGGCGGTATACACGGACGTGGACACTTGGTAGATCAGATCAGGAACACACTGATGCCACAGTGTAAGGTGCAAAATCATTAAGTAAACATATACGAGAAACGACACATAGTTGGAACAATATTTCATCATTGAGGTCTAACAACTTCATATTCATTGCTATTGTGGTGTTTACAAATGTTCGATGAATGAGTGTTCAGTGAGTTCTCATGACGAGGTTTTGGTGTACTTACAGGTACATCTCGAACGTTAGTCTTGCTTGTGGTCCAATTGTGAGTCCCTGGATGGAAAGAAGTATTACACCTATACTCTCACTTATTATAACATTTAAGTTGCTAAGAAAAACATTTGTTTTAGTCATGCCCAAAAAATGTCCACATCGCACACTAATATATCCTATCAAGTCATACCATTAGGACATCCGTCTCCATCTCTAACTGTGACACGTCCACCTACATCCTCATTATGTTTGATGACCATGACCCCATCTGATGACTGACTGATTTCTCCAGCAGATGTCCTGGCCTGCACTGTCACATAGTACACCTGTGAGAGAAGAGGCCAACAACTGAAAGGTTGTGCTCAGCTACATATAAATGCCGATTAAAGGACGGGTCCTTTCTTCATATCAAACATATAATATATCATTATTGATTTTGTAACCTGAACTAACCCTATATTAAATATGGTGACTCTGAACATATCTCACATATGTGTTTGTGACGTAGCCTATAATGACAAAATGACAGGTATCTACATGTTCACTTACAGTGTGCAAACTTAGTATCAAGTTGTTAAACTTGTGTGACATGGACTTTTCAACATCTTCATAGACTCTGACGTTTTGCAGTCCAGGCAATGTACCAATACAGACACTATACTTGACCCCAATCAGGTCATCGTCAAACCCAGACCATTTTGTATGAAGTGTGGTGGTAGATAGCTGAAGATCTGCGTCCACAAAGTCCTGAAATGAAACAAGCAACCAAAACATTAAATGCAACTATGAGTGCACTATTGAATGTTCAATGTAGTGGTGTCTAAATAAACGATATCATGTGTTTTCTCTGTTAGCGTGAAATCTATTCTGTTGACATACAGATAGTTAACCTTATAGACACAGGTTGTTTTACCGTGATGTCAAAAAGTTCTTGTTCCTCCTGTGGACAGATATCAAGTACCACTCCCAGGGAAGGTAGTCTGACATCGTGGACGTACGGTTCTGATACACCAACAGTCCACAGTCCGACAATGTTGGTCACTTTGACTGAAACATAGTACATGTGGCCTTGATGCAGATCCCAGTGGAGGTCGCGGGTGGCTACAGCTGTGCATGATGGTGGCGTGGAGACAGAGCATCCTCCTCCTGACTGGAGAGGGAGGAAGGGGAGGATCCTAGATCCACCAGGAGACGAACCTGAATATGGTGAAAAATATGTGAAACCAGGAACATGAGTTTCAATTTCATCTAAAATCCTGTATGTGTTGAAGGATCAATTATCAATGTAGAGTTTTAACGTTTACAGAGTATACAAGTGGCTTCTACCTGAAATAATGATATCAGATTACAGTCGTTACCTGAACTGTCATTCTTGTGTCATATAAAAAAATGTGTTTTTCAGATTAAAAACGATGTTTTATTGGTCTGTTTTCAGTCGTACAAATTCATACAAACCTGTAGAGGTTACGGATAGAGGTTTACAGGCGACACACGCCAAGGGGAGCGACTCTCACCCAAATCACTTTTCCAATGTCTTATAGGAGATGGAATATGGGGGGGCGGGCAGCCGTGCCCCAAGGAGGATTTCATCAGAGAATCCATAACCTCTACAGGTTTGTATGATTCTCTTTCAGATTAAATCCACCTTGGGGCACTTATTACATCAAGATAGACTCCTAAAGATAATATAGGAAGTGGCATTCGTTTGCAAAAAGCGAAAATAAACACATCGTTTCACAAGACTATAGAGAATTAATAAAATGGAACCCACCTTATCGTGAGGCACCACCTTATCATGAGGCTTGAGACAGGGCGTGGTCTGACCATACGCTATGAAAAAAGCCGCAGTTGTAAAGCAAGTGAAAACTCAAGAACACCCCCCCACCCTACCCCCACCCACTTTTGTACAAGTGATAACGGGGACAATAATCGCTAGGGACAATACGCCTGGTAGCTAGGCAGGCTTTAGGGTCCCGTAGGATCGAGCGAGGGTCATGCGCAAAACGAGTACATTATCGATTAGTAATGGCTACCGAAGAATCGCCATTCCCGAATCAAAGACTCAATCGGCCAGAGATGTAGAACTCTGCCCAGTGTGGAGAACTGACGGACCGAACCGAGCACGCTCCCTGGAGTGTTATCGATTTAGTAATGTTTGATGAACATACTCGGCCCACAGAACTCTGTCCGTCCAATCTAGCTGGAAGGTGTCTGGTGCCGCCCACCTCGGGTCGGGGACTCGGGAGCAGAACGTTGGTGTCTGGTGATTCACCCCAGACGCAAACAGATCCACCTGTAACGACCTGTATAGAAAATCCCGAATATCCCCGGGTCAAGCCTCCACTCGTGAGGAGCGAGGAACCGGGATTCGAACCCACAATCATAGGTTTCTGGCGTGCTTAAGGGACGCAACACTGTACAGCGAATCGCGGCATGATCGCTCTCAATTCTAACACATTGATATGCAGTTTGATCTCCTGCTGAGACCATAGTCCCAGGGCAGTGTGATCGTTCTGAACGCCTCCCCAACCGGAGAGTGACGCGTCTGTTTGAACTGTGAAAGATGGAACGGGAGTGTCAAGGGGAGCCCCAGGACAGATTCCCGACCTCGGTCCCTCTGGGCCGTGGAGATCCCGAATGGTAGTTCCCAGAACTGATAACACCTCCCGTCGAAAGAAAACCTCAGGTATTTCTTGAACTCGGGGTGTATGGGTACGTGGAGATAGGCGTCTTTTAGGTCTATTGACGTTAGCCATTCTCCTGTCTCGACAGCTGAGATCACTGAACGCAGTGTCTCCCTCCTGAAGGACGGTACCTCTATTACTTTGTTCAGCCTTCTCAGATTGAGAATAGGCCTGAACCCTCCATCTTTTTTAGTGAATAGGAAATATGTTGAGTAGAAGCCCTGGCTTTCCTTCTTTTCATAAGAAGTGTGTCGACCTCGGCACGGAGGAATTCCGCCTTCTCTCGGGTAGCAGGCACCGGAGTGTGCTTTATCCCGGAGAAGGGGGGCGGATGATGTTTCCACCGAGGCAAATGGCCATCCCTTAAAATGGACGGGGTCCAGGAATTGGATGTAACTGTCTCCCATATTCCTTCAGGAATAGAGCCAGTCGGACGCCTAAGGGGACATCCAGCTTGAGGCAGTGGACCCCGGCTGTCAGCAGTTCGATAACTTGCGACTGTGGGTCCAACCGGGGGCCAACCGGGGGCCTTCGGGCGCTAATGGGAACCCAATGGGTCCCTGGCCCCGCGAAAAGCCTGCTGGCCTCGACCAGCTGCCTTGCCCCAGCCCCTGCCTCTTTTGCTCTTGTATTGGAAGCATACAATTGAGCAGCCTCTCGCACCACCTGTTGAGCCCCAGGGAAGAGGGTGGCACCCATCTTATACGGCAAAGCAAGGAGGTCTTGGCGTGTTGAAGTCGAGTATTTAGATACTGACATCCACAGCCTGCGCATGCCCATAACAGCGCACATCATCTGCGAGGCACAGCTACGAATAGCGTCCTGCGCAAGATGACTGTGAACTTTCGTTAGTTGCGTGGCCAACTCCAAAGAGTTGGCTGGCCCCTCCCCCGCTAACTCCCTCTGTACAGCCGACAGATACGCGGAGTGTACGGACACACGGAGCTGTTGGTATGCATTACGATATTGCTCCTCGAAGCATATGTGAGCAGCCTTCAACTCCGCACCGCACCCGGGAAAGGGGGGCAACCGTCGGCCCTGCTTGACCTTAGTCCCCCCCCAGGGTAACGGATTATTTTTTCCAAGCAGAAGTTAATCGACTCTTCCCCGAGAGATGAAGCAGACGAAGTCGGAAGGGGACGCCCGAAGGCCTGGGCCCTCGCATCCCCGGGCTGCACCCGGCCGGAAGCTGAGTCCTGGTCCCAAGGTGCCGGGGGTTCAAGGGAACCCACCTGGCTCTGGGCTAGGTATCCAGTAGTGGAAGCCTCGGCCTCGGAAGAGGCGTCTGGCTCCGCTAGGAAAAATTGTGCGTCGGTAGTGCACAGGCTGGCGCCCGCCACCCCTCCGCTGGGGTGCGACCTCAAGCCGGAGCCGAAGCCTGGTCTCGGATCCTCCCCCAGACCAATTGGCCTGCCTCGGCCGACGCCGGGTATAACACAAGGTCTTAAAGCCGCATCCGGCGCCGACAATGGGGAAGGCTCAGCTCGTAGCTCCTGCCTGAGCTGAGACTTCACCTCCTCCATCTGCGACTTAAGTAATGCAGAAAAGTCTGCCAAAGACGGTGCAAGTTGTTTATCACGAACGCACAGTATGGTTAATGCTCTTTGACACACAACTAATTATCGATGCGACAGGACAACTGCACGCGTCCGTTGAACTGCGATCGAAGTGTGGTCGACGTATAGTTTAGTTACAGAGCAACTCCCAGTATACAAGAACCAAAACAGCATGGTTAATGCTCTTCGACCCACAAGTAACTATCGATGCGACAGGACAACTGCACACGTCAGTTGAACTGCGATCGAAGTGTGATCGGCATATAATTTAGTTACCGAACAACTCGCCGTAGTCAAGGTAACTAAAAATACCATGGTTAATGCTCTTCGACACACAACTTATTATCGATGCGCCAGGACAACTGCACACGTCAGTTGAACTGCGATTGAAGTGTGGTCGGCGCATAATTTAGTTACAGAGCAACTTGCAGTATACAAGGTAACTAAAAAATATGAGCAGTACTATAAAGTATGGGAAGACGATGCATACACCGAATAACCATAATAAAAAAGCCGAAGTACTGCACGCAACAAAAAAACATAAGAATGCGTACATTCACCAACAGCTTTGTTAACATGTTATATGGCACGAAGTGTCGAGCAAAATGTCCAAAGTGAATGTCTTTTCTGAGAGATTAGTTGTGCCACCACAAGTTGACCAAACTGTTAGAGTCTTCTGTTGAGATATCTCTGAGATAATGCGAAGCAAACACTGAAGTAGATCTCCAAAAGCAGCCCTCCATAATAGCTTGCAGCGAACAATTACTGTGGAGTGCTAATGTTAAAGCTATGGCTCGAACTTCGTGCGGATGAGAGGAGGTGGGAGGTGCGAGTCCTTGTGCCTCCTAAGCTCTGAGAATGACTGCTCTCAACCAAAAGGAGAGAGTATTACGTGTAATCTCTTTCTTTGCATTGGTTGAGAGCGGTATGAACAGCCGTCAAAAATGTTGTCGTCGCTGTTCAGATCGCTGCAGGTAAATACGAAGCGCACAAACTGGGCACAGGGTGAGATCAGTGTGATCATGAGGGCCCATAATGGCAGACAAAGAAGAAATGTGCAAGATTCTCGAATTTTGGCCAGGAAGTTGATTTTTCGCTAAAAAATCCCATCTGAGACCAAGATGGACGATGCCATGGTTACGCTGATCGAACACAATCCACCCGACATCAATGGCATGTATTTCCGATACTCTTGCTGCCGTAGCCAGAGAGAGAAGGAAAGCTGTTTTCTGAGACAATAAATCGAACGCGACCTGATCTACAGGCTTGTAATCCTGACTAGACAGGTTGCGCAGAGGTCCCAGGCCAGCAGTCTGAATTTACGTGACTGATCTTGAACCATGAAGGCACGTCGAATCTGCTGCAACTACGGTACTTTAGTGAGCTTGTCGCCCGTAGGAGAGGGCACTACTGAAGCCAAAGCTGCCAGATTAGTCGAGATTGTAGACGCTTTGAGACGCCGAGATGACCGGAGATAGACTAGGAACTATGCCACCTGTGGTGGGACTGCTACCGCCGGGTTGAAGCCATGAGACCTGGCGAAAATGGAGAAAGTGGTCCACTTGTCATCGTACAGCTTATGAGTCGTAACTCGATGTGCCGACGAGACAAGCGCTGCTGTTTTAAGCCGAAATTATGATGTCACGCTCGGCTTCCCTGGAGTACTTGTCCAGAACTTCGTTGGTACGACCGTCAAACAACTGTTGCGATGACCACGGGGCCAGTAAGAGTGACCTGCCATGACGATCAGGTAGTTCAGTGCAGTCGATGTAACCATGGCGACATGCCGTAGTAATCTGCCCTGATACATATCGGGACTGGGCGAGGACATCCGAGATCCACCGTTGCATACAGGTGAGGACCGATGGCACCGTCCTGTCGTCCTCGTCCTGGGGTTCTTTCTCCTCAAAGTACACTGAGAGGGCCTCGATCGCTGTCGACAGCATAGCAGGCGGTTGTAGCTGGTGACGAACAGCAGTGTCTATGGATTCCAAATGCCTTTCTTCTACTAGAATCTTGGAGGGCGCTGGTTTCTTGAAGAGTAGCCCCCAATCCAAGTCCCTACTCATGGGTGACGAAAACGGCATGCCATAAATCGAGTAACGAGATTTACCAGGCGGCTTGCAGAAACTCTGCCCAGGCAGAGCAGAGGCAAAGTTCTGGTCCATATCTTGAGCCATGACTCTGAAGGCAATGGGAGGAGAAAACTGAAGAGACTGCGGTGTATCTCCGACCTTAAAGCCCGCACGCCTGGGTGTGTCATCGTCTTGTGATAACTCAGGGAGAAAGTTAGATAGCCAAGCAAACAACTCAATGTCTTTGGGAGGCCTAGAAGGGCTGTCCTCACAATCCATTGTCGACGTCGATTGTGGAGGCGTAGATAAAGGAGCTGGTGTACTGGTTGACGGTCCATGGACCCATCCTTCTTGGTCGACGCCATCGAGGCGAGGACCGCCGCCGTGATCTGGGCTATCAAAGCCGGGTCGATATGAAAGTGGGACGAGGGCGTCATTCTGTCATTATCTTCACTACGTTGCTGAACTCCCAGAAACTCCCTGCGAGAACGTCGCACGTCCCCGTGGGGACGAGGGCTACGATCTCTAACTGCAGAAGTACTACGATCCCCATCATAGTTATCGTCCGAATCGTACTCCCGATGACCACGAAGGCGATGAACAGCCTCATGTCGTTTACTGTCTCTCCACGGGGCACTCGACCTGTCGTCCCGACTTGAACGGAAACGACTTCTGTGTCCACTGTCGTCCCGCACGACGTCCCTTTCTTTGCTGGTAGAACGAGATACAGACCGCCTGGAGACCGTAGTCCCCTCATGTAACTTGGGAGGCTGAGTGACGCTCTCGATCAACCGATTGACGAAGATCAGTTGTGCGGGTAGTATCATCAGCAGGCAAACGGTCACGTGTCTTGTCGAAAATAGAAGTTGACTGAGGCGGGTCTTTATCAACTGATTTCTTCGGTGTGGCCGACTCGCCACCCCCAGACATGTTGCCACGTGTATAATCAAGTCGAACAGTGAAACACGTGTTGAACACAAACAATGGATTACCAAGGACTACATTCCAGGAGTCTACAGGTAAGACATATTTATTATTATTATTACTTTATTAGAAAAAAAATTGTAGACAAGCGATATGTACTAGCAGAATAAAAACTAGCAGTCTACCACGAAAGACTTTCTCAAGCGACCAGCTCAGAGGTGCGCTGAGAGATTTGTGACATGTCATAGGGAGGTGCGTGCACAACCGGACGGAAACAAGTTTTATGTTTACATTCCAGCTTCTGGCTTCTTTTTAAACGTGCGACTAGACGTGAGGGTATGAGCGATACCCATTTGTACGACTGAAAACAGACTGAAACATAGATATATCATTATGATAGCTCACTCGACAGATACGCACCAACAGCAAATGTGTAGGTCAGATAGTCTTGTTTGGCATCTGGGAAAGAACCTGATGTCCAGGTGGTGACAAGATGGTTCTGTTGTAGGCCAACAGTGATTGGTGGTGTGAACGCTGGTGCCTGGGTGTACACTGTTATAGGCCCCAAGACCTGCCATAATACAGAGCGTGTTGACTGGCGGCCGTTTCATATCAAATTAAATGAACTTTTGTCCGTCAAACTTCAAGCAAAGTCATGCAAAGCCTCCATTTCGTTTATATGGGCAAACCAATGTTGATATTTCTCTGACATATACTTGAATATTTGTGTCTTTTTGACAATGTCATTATTTGGTTCTTTCTACTTTCCTGTTTAGTGTAACATCATTTTGTAGACATTTCATATGTATGCGTGTGTCTGACGTACCTCAGTGACAGATAATGCAGCTTTATTGATAGCTTTTACTGCTATATAGAACTGTTGCCCTTCACTCAGATGCGGATGGAAGCCTTCATAATGAGGGTGGTGGTGCGTGGATGTGTAAGGCAGAATATCTGGAGCTGCTTCACGAGATGGATCAGACATCAGTCCTAGCTCATAGTCATAAATACCACTCTCAACATCACTGCTAGTCCAGTTGACAAAGAGCTGGAAAAGAACATTTGCAATGTGATAAGAACCGATTGTAATTATCATAAAATGTATGATTGAAAATACTTGATGTCACAATGAAACTGTCATTTCAGACTAGGACTCACGTGATGTTTCTGGGACATATAAAACTGATTGATAGAGCGGAGTCGGAAGGGTTGATGATGACTGCAGGAGGAAGCTTGGTGGATCACAGTTGAACCATTGAGGTGTTTGTGAAGGGGTAGGAGAGACAAGCTTTGATTGCTTGTTACTGCTGATCGCATTCTGCAAATATAGACTGTCAAGATACACGAGTACAGAAGCATTTGTTTGTGAGTACTAACATATTCATAAGCTAGTATATTATTCATACATTTCCTGACAAGTATTTTCTTCGATCACTGTGTTTTGGGTTTCAAGTGTGGTAATACTATACCTGCAATGAGTATCTGGTTCTTCAATCTGACTCCTCCTCCTGTCTGCAGTGACGAGCCACACTTCCTCACCATTCGTCACCAGACCTTCAGTAGTGTGGGAGTTAAGGACAGCAATCTGTCTCAGTGACGGTTCTGTCTGGTCCACAGTAACTCCATCAGAGCAAACAGGAAGAGATGGCTCCAGGGCGCGGTTGAAGGCTACGACTGTGATATAGAACCTGCCTTCAGAAGGGGCCGTCCAGGAGACGTGAGTGGAGGATGTTTCGGTCACCTGTGTGTAATCAGTGAACAGTCAGATTTTACACAATAGCCAGCAACCAGAAGACGCATAGTAACGATTTCATGAAAATAATAGTAATTACTTAGTTATATTTCATGGCTATCACAAATGTACTCCTATTTTGCATGGGACAAACAATTAATTCCATACTTACATTGGGTGATGGCAAATCAAGTCCAAAATTCCTTATCTCAAGACAATGACCAGCATATCCATACTGGTAAAACGTGACGCCACTTTCCCTATCAAAGAATCCCTCCCAGTGGGCATGGAGCTGCATACTGTCTTGGTAGTCAATTTCGGGATGGCCCCTTTGCCCATCTTGAACAGAACCAGGGTGAGGTGGACTGGAGTCAATGGTCACCTAGTCAAATATAACAGTTGAATAGCATAACACAACTTACCAAAATGCGTGCAATTGTCACTTCCATGTGTTAACAAACATACTTGTTTAATCTCAGAATGTTTTACAAACCTTAAAATCTAGGGTTGTTCTGAGTTTTGCACGATTCATCACCATGACTTCAAGATAGTAATCCGAGTCATGAACCCCCTTGTTCTTGTCATGAAAGATCCCTCCATGTGTCAGGTTGGCTGATACAATCTTGGGCTTGACCTGGAAGTGCCTGTGGTAGCATCCAACCCCAGGAGTGCAGTAACAATTAGGACCTCTGGCTGCAGTTTGGTATTTAGTTTCACATTCCACCAAGTCCTGTATATAATTTGTTGGACATTATATTTTGGTGCTGTTAACATTTCACATTTATCATATCAATCAATTAATGTGCAAACAAAGAGTGCAAACCAACTATTTACCTGTGCCTCACCCTGCGCAGAAATGCGCTCCACACCATGGACCAAATCTTCCCCTGTGTAGTTATCAAATAGTCGCCAGGTAACTGTCTCCAAACCACTGTGATCATCATAACTCACCCATTCGATACTGCAAGTTAAACAGAGGAATACATAATTCGTTGAATGGTGTTATGGATAACAGTGATTATCATATTTGAGGTAAACTCACAAATTGACAAAATTAACTTACAAAATAGGTATGAAATGAAATGATAACATTAGTTTCAATGAACAAGAAACATATTTCTTAATATAATTTCAATTTCCTGGCACAACAAACACATCAGTGCAAGTAATTCAAGACAGAACCTTTCAGGAATAGGCCCAAGGATCAGCTGAGTGATTTCTGATATCCTGTTCCCACTGAACCTATCCATGCATCCCACTTTTCACTGTGAAAATTACTTACACCATTTGATTAAATTCATCTATCTTGTGTACACTGACATTCAGCCTGTCGCCTCGGGTCAGCCACAGGTTCTCAATGATAGGAGGCGATGTGTCAATGTGGACCGTTACCGTCTCCTCCAGATACTCCCCCCGAACGTCATAAGCTCGGATCCAGTAGCGGAAAGTGTCCCCGTCAACCAGAGTGGGTGAGATTGTATGGGACTGGTTCAGGTAGAGGCTGCTGAAGTCTGGGTCATCTGGAACTGTTTCTATTGAAGTACCTCCCTTGTGATCAACTTTGTAAGCAGTTTTTATGGCAACAATTCCTGTAACAGATAAGTGTTAAAATTAACATTATCAGCTTTGCTCCTTGAATTTGAAACCAGATTGCTGATTTAACATTAAAAACCTTCGATAAAGATTAATTGTTAACGTGGCCATTTCAAATATATCAAATACATCAACAATAACGCAGCCAAGGCAACGTTAAGTAGTTTGAATGTATAAATCATTAACTGAAAGCTATATCCATTCATTGTTTACATGTGTACGTTGCCTGGAACATGTCAATTCTACAATGCAACGGGCATGGATATTCTCGAAAAGAGACGTAATTGAGACAATGTCTCGAAAATATCACCTTGTAAACTGGGGATTTTATCCACACCTCTGCTGTACCCTTGGTCATCATACTCCTCGTCAACATTAGAAACTGGCAATACCCTTTCCAGCCATCTGTTTTGGTAGTGTAGCGTGTTGATGTAGCGGTTGTTCCAGTCGATGTTAACTGAGTCTGATGTCCACTGCCAGTCCCATGAAGATATCTCAGCAGCTGACGTCACACGTAAGACAGTGTTGGGAGTCGTCTCTACCTTGGATTCTCCATCATAGATGATGATTCTTCTGCCACTTTTGAAGTTTCCAGCTTTGTCAATAGCTGTAATTTCTATTGAGAATATCCCCTTTTCTTTGAGATGTATCCTGCCTGTGTTCTGACACCAGAAGTCACATAAGTCATGTTTAATCATATAAAGATTTTTTTAAACTATGCCAACTTACTACTAACTTCTATGTTGTCCAGATGTTGGTTAAGGCTCTTTAAATATAAAAGAAACTGCTTGAATAATTTTTAACATGCATCTTACCTGAGAGGAATTAAACATTTGCATTTGTTTTATAGTTTTCTTGCGAATTCCATCTTCACTGACAATAAACTCCATTTCAAATACTTGTAATTCGAACCGTCGTATGCCAGATGTGTCGTCTCTCCATCCATTCCAGTAAACACTAAATGATGGCTGTAAAACATCAAGAAAACACATTTATACAGTTAAAATCATACCCCCAGTGCCAAGTACACATAGCCCTGACATTAAGTTCAAACTACAATATGCATTGTGTCTCAGCAACGAATGTACTAGGGTATAGTACGTTTCTAACTTTGTGTTTTCAATTGCAAATGGTGTCTATGCTAAAAACAGCTGTACAGCATGTAAATATTCAAAATGCCGCGATATTGTATTCAAAAGTGTGGAATGGGATATACCACCTGTTTGAACTATATTCTCACCTGCTTACTTGTCTTGGCAGCAATGAACATATCAGCAGAACATTCCCGTGTTGCAATGCAGTGATATGGATTTATGTAGTCGATACCTATTCTCACTGTTGCTGTCTTTGTCTGGCCAGCGTAGAAGTGTGTCTGCACAGTGTTTTTTTCCATGTCCTTTACTTTCACAAACCCACCATTTGAGGCCTCAAATTGAAATTGCAGCCTGCAATAAATCACAATCATTTAATACAGTGATTTTCAAAGTCAATTTTCTTGGGATGAGAAATGTAAGAACAACTGACATATAACAAATAATCAATCACACAGCAAATGTGAAATAAAGAACAACTATCTGTCTGTCTGTCTGTCTGTCTGTCTGTCCATCTATAAGCAAATCTAAATACATGGGCATTCTAAGCGATTTATTCGTAATAGGCAAGTTTGTCTTACACATCCCCTGTTGTTAGCTCTGATGACTTGAAGACATTAATGATTTTGACATCTCCATTGCATTTGAAGAGACCTTTATGGGGGGCTAGCTCAGAAACGTTCTCACAGTTGATGGACGTTGAGAAACTGGTCATCTCTGTGATATCTGTAATAATAAAAAGCATTTCTAAGTAGCTACCCATCAAGTCTCATCGGTTGCATGCCTCCACATAGCACATAGCTAACATGACAAACAATAAATGTTACATATGGTAAGGTTACATGATTATGATTTGTGATGAGGCTATCTTACCTTTCTCCATAACAGGTAGCAACACTTGACAGTGACGAATAAAGAAACAATTTTTCGCAAACACCTGGTGTCATCACTGATTTTCAGTGATCCACTCATATAATTTCCACTGCTTTTTTTCCTCTTTCGGTAGATAATCCATATTGAATAATCTTTCGCGATGACGATTTAATGTCAACGGGGAAATTTGGTTTAACGTTTATTGTCAAGACATAATATGAATTATAAAATAAATTTTGAAGCATTGACGTTTCTGCTGAAAATCGGAAGTTGTTCTTGAACTTTATATCACAGTTTATTATATACCTTTGAAAAGGTTTAATGCAAGTTTGCCTTGCACAATTCCAACACTGTAGCCATCTATAAACTTATGTCTGGTTGGCAGTAGTCCAGAAGGGATAAAGTTGGTGTGAAAATCATAGTTAATGTTGTGAATGTTCTTCAGGTTTGTCCATGAGTCCTCCTGACCCTCAGAGTTGTTAGGGTCGACTGGAGCCTCGGCTGTTTCATTTCCCTGGCCGTGCACAACTATCCTGTTCCATGGTATCAGGGGTGGTGTGTCAACTAAAGGGTTGAACGGTAAAATATCATAGTCAAATAAATGGTACAAACGATGATGGTGTTAAATCAAAGGTATGGGTTAATGTTGGAGTGTTATCACAATCAATAAGTGTTTGTGTATATTTAATGGAATTGGAAATTTTAGTAAATTGTATATTTATATACTTATCCTATCTCACACTTTGCATTTCTTCCTTTTTCTTTGATCCTATGTTGGAACGTGCTTGAATCATGTTTCCAGCTTCTAAAACTAAAAATAGCCGCCCAAGCCCCCCTGCATCTCCATGGTTATGTCCAAAAGCTAGGTCAATTACGTGCCTCTCGTGCACGCTGTGCCTGCTTGAACTGACCTCGTGTGCGCCTCTACCAATTCATTCTCTTTCGCAGAGCTTATTAGGCTAGAGTAAATGAGATGCGGGGATGGTCGGGTGGGCCTATCACGTGTGAGATAGGATAAGTATATAAATGTACAATTTATACTAAAATTTCCCAATTTTTAAACTTATGCTATCTCACACTTTGCATTTTATCCCACAGTTTGATGGTGGGCCGCAGATACCCTAGCCTGTATAGACTACAACTGTGAGATATGCATGTGGAAGCTGGTTCAAGACAGTTTAATTTTGAATTTGTTTCAGAATTTTGAAAAACTGTCTAGCGTCTAAAGACATGAACTCGTGAGCGGGAAAAAATACACACGATCAATCGGTGTTAATGATCCCGATAGGTTACTTAAACGAAACAGCATGAGATCGGGTGTACATGCCAAATGTTTTTTCCCGTATGTCATTGTACATATAGAATGACCTCGTAGCTATAAATCCATAAGCGAAATGGCAGACGACTTGAAATCGATCCTGGAAGGGCATCAATTCTTCAAACAAAACACAGCAACTATCTCCCAGGGACCATAGAGTGAGTTAGGTTTGGTAACTCTTTTAACGCTTTGTCATGGTTATCAAACACGTCCGAGTGTATGAAGCGAACCAAAAACGAGAAGAGGAACGATCGACAATATTCAATAGCAATGGACCTTCGTACCAAAACCCTACATCACAGATACCTTAAGCACACGTGAGTGGAATAAAGGTTCGGGACACCGATCTTTTTTGTTGTTGTGTTTGTTTTGTTTTGTTTTGATCGGCCGCACCGAATGGTGACTTCATAAATTAAGACTAAAAAGTCTCTACAGATGAGCTAATCCACCCTCCAAAAGGGGCTCAATCTGGGAAACCCGAACAATCAAAAAACATGTAAATGTTTATTGATTTATTCTGTATATACAATTGTAACCCGCAAGGATTACGCAGTATAACTGTTTATGTTCTGCGTGAACTAGGGTGAGACAGTTGTTGTGCCAACACCAACGAACCGAACTTGTTGAGCCCTTGTACGATTGTGACTGAATGTACACGATTGACTGCACCGATTGGTCACTTCGTAAATTTGAGCCGATACCAACTGACCAACCTTGTGGAGCCCTTGTACGTCTGTGACTGAAATTTCTTGCAGGTAGTGGGAAGCAAACACAGTATCCGACTTCCAAAAGCACCCTTCCATGATGGTTGAAAGGGTGCAGTTACTATAGAGGGCCATGGTGGAAGCAACCGCACAAGTCTCGTTAGGATTGGACGTTGTAAGTGGAGGCAGCCTGGCGAAAGTATACGCTCACAGAATGATGGAGCGGAACCAGAAGGATAGTGTCGTTCGAGAAATTTCCGATGTAGACGCGGTTGACAATCGGACGAAAAGTCTCTCTTCCGGGAACTTCTGTGGAGGCGCGACGCATAGAGATACATTCGAAGCGCCCGAACAGGGCACAGAGAGAGGTCTTCATGGTCGTTTGATCCCCAAAAAGCCGAGAGCGGGGGAATCATAATAGCCGATCCGGTTGTCCGGGAAGTTGGTTCTTTGCCACAAAATCCCAACCAAGCCCCAGGAACGCTTTGCCACGTCCGGATATGTCAAACTGGACCCTAGTGACATCCAAAGCATGAATTTCACTAACCTGTGCGGCAGTGGCCAAAGCCAACAAAAAAACGGCCTTCAGCATAACTGTGTCAAAATCCTTCTCCGTCGGTGATTCGTAATCACCGGAAACCAGTTGTTGAAGAATAACGTTTAGGTGCTACGAAGGAGGCCGAAAACGAGCAGCTTGGTCGGCTAATTTGTAGAAACGGATGAGCGATTGTAGTTCTGTAACCGTGGAAACCTTTGCACCGGAAGTGGTGGCAATGATGGAGTTAATTGCCGCGAGGTAGGTTGACAATCTTTCGTTGGCGAGCCTTAGCAACGTGGGGAACCAGTTGCGGGTTGGCCAATAGGGCGGGACAAAAATCAGAGACAGGTGATCGGTGGCTGCTACCTTCTGTAGGGCCCAGGGAAGGAGCCCCATCGGGGGCAAGGCATTGAGACCTTTCCACGAGATCGCCAACGCGTCGTGCTCCAAAGCCCTAGGGTCGGGAATGGGAGATACGAATCAGGATAGTTGAGCGTTGAAACGGGTGGCAAAGAGGTCTACTTCCGGGGCCCGATAAAGTTGACATATCCATTGGTACGATTGTGGATGAAGAGACCACTCGGTTGGTGATGGTCTGTCCGGTCGGGACAGGGAGTCTGCTATGACGTTGGATATCCCCGGAATGTGCCGAGCGCGGACATGTATGTTGAGGGAGTCGATGAGACGAAAGAACTCGAGAGCAAGTGAGAGTAGGGACGTCGACTTCGTGGATCCCATCCTGTTGATGGACCATACAACCGCCATGTTGTCGGACTGGATCATGAGGGATGTTGCCTTGAACTCAAGATTGTTGATGTGAAGACAACGTTCTACGTCGGACCACCGCCCTGCTACTTGCCGATCTTGAAAATGTGCTCCCCAACCGACAATTGAAGCGTCAACAAACAGATGGAGGGACGGGACGAATCGCGTCAAGGAGACCCTGTCGCAAACGTTTTACGTGACCAGCCGCCATTGAAGATGAGGGTGGAGATTGAGCGGTAGAGAAATCGGCGTGTGACAATCGTTGATCCTGATAAAGGGCGCGAGAAAACATTGGAGAGGTAGCAAATGAAATCTACCCCATACAGTGAGGGCCTGCGCCGATGTTAGGAGGCCCAGGAGTTGCCATTGACGCAGTTGAAGCGGCTGTTTGAGTGCTGACGGTACGAGGCGTTGAATCTTCACCCATCGGTCGTGGGGAATGAACATCCGACCTTGCCGAGTGTCAAACAGGGCTTGGAGTCGAGTGGGAATGAGTTCCCACTTTTGTTCGTTGATTAGCCAGCCGAGTTGTCTGAGAAGACGCACTGTGAAGGCGAGTTGTAGATGGAGGAAAACGGCATCTGCATGAACGTGAATGCAGTGGTCTAGATAAGAATCGAACACGATCCCGTGGGGCCGAAGAAATTCCGAACGGGAGCACCTTCCATTGGTACTGGTGGTCTTGAAAAACGAACCAGAGGAAGTGACGGTGCTCCCGATGGATGGGAATGTGCAGATAAGCGTCTTGGAGATCGAGACTGATCATATAATAGCCGGGATGAATGAGCGTACGAAGGAGCGCGATCGACGTCATGGGATGTGGTGGGGTTTCAAGGTACATAGCGTTGAAAGTCTTCATGTTGAAAATGAGCCGTAGTTTTAAACTGTCCTTTTTGGGGACAAGAAAAATGGGGGAATAAAAAACCTGGGGGTCGCGGGAAGTGTGCCGAGACATCAGATGGCGTTTATTGCTAGTAACGTACCCACTGTTTCGATCATTGTTGCCTGGACGGATACGTTTTCTGATGGGGATGGAGTGTTGTAGGTGGTGGTGAGATCATCGGTAATCGATACCCTTGTTGAAGCAGCTGTGTCACAAAGGGGTCTGCAAGCATGGTCTAATTGTCTGCAAAAATCTGGAGTCTTCCGCCTACAGGCGTTGCTATAACAGGAACAGCTGGGGGCGGAAGTTCCCAGTCGTGTCGATGTGCAAAGGAGTCAAGTTCCTGCTGACCCTCCCTCTTGGGAAGGTTCGCCAGCGCCCTTGGGTCCGGTAAAGGTGACCGATCGAGCCGAGGAGGGCTTCAAGCCCCGTTGACCTCTTCGACCTCATCCGCGCCCTCGAAAGGGATTAGGCTGAGACGAAATAAGGTCACGTAATACGCCATCAGCCTCGGTTCAAAATTTTGGCCATCGGTATCAATTTAGGGGAATAATGCTCATAACGATTTTTGGCAAGGTATGGACCCCTAGAGTTGGAAAATGTGTGATAGCATTGCAGCGGTGGCAGCTTTTTGGGTGTTATCACCTTTTTTCAAAATGGCCGCCAAAATACGAGTTACCACATATAAGTGGCCATATCTAAGTTCATAGAGCAGTTAGGACGGTCATTCTGGTGTCTATGACTAGGTTTGAGGGGTCAAAGATTTCATTTCTACCTTTACCAAAAACATCAGAGCATGTTTTTATATGAAAACCAAAATGGCCGCCAAAATGTTTATTACCACATACAAGTGGCCATATCTAAGGTCATAGAGCAGTTAAGACGGTCATTTTGGTGCCTATGATTAGGTTTGAGGGATCAAAGATTGCATTTCTGTCTTTACCTAAAACATCGCAGCCTTGCTTTATATTGAAATCGAAGATGGCTGTCAAAATGTCAAGATGTCAAAGATAATTTTGTTTGTCTTTACCTAAAATGAGAAATCATTCCTCTATATTTGAATCAAGATGGCCACCAAAATGGCTGCAGTTAAAAATTTAAACTCTGATTATATGCACATAGTTCAGGACGAATCTAATAATCATAGTCATTTTCCAGCTCCTCGTCATCCCTATCTGCATCCTCGCCTGTGCTGTCCTCATCATCTGATGTCCACTACTGCAATCACCAAGTCTGCACATATCAGTGCACTTGAGTCCATTTGTTAAACACTCACTCCTTGTTTACCGTAACCTCAGTAGTCTGATCCACAGGGATATGCCCAAAGGGGTTGTTGCTGGAAAGTGGCACCGAGAA